GATGGCAGTACACTTTCGAATCAATTGTTAAATTGTCTGGTAAAAGCTCCAAAAAAAATTTCCTTAAAATCCCACCAAAGAGAGCATCTCTCCTTAAGAACATGTTGAACCCATATATCAAGCTTTGAAATGAAACCAATTTGTTTCAAGTAATCATAAACGGTTCAATTTGACAAATTTAATCTCTTAGTGATTTCATGTGTTGTTATTTGGCAGTTTGCTTCAATCAGTACCTTTATTTTGTTTTCATTGGCTTCAACTGGCCATCCAGAACATGGTGCATCTTCAATATTGAAATTGCCAGAACGAAATTTTGTAAACCAGTTTTGGCACTGTCATTCTGTCAACACATCTTCTCCATACACGTCACACAATTTTTTTCTCACTTGAAGAGCATTTTGATTTTTTGGTAATAAAAGAGTAAAATATGCTGAAAATGATGCTTTTGATCTTCCATGTTTGATGGGACACAAAAAATAAACAATTGTACAAAATCAAACAAAATTTAAAAATGTTTTAATTTTCAACTGATTTGATTTCTGTGTAAAGACCAGAGTTTTAATTGTTATTATTTTTAGTTTTAATTAATTTTTAGGTTTAATTTATTTAGTATTAATTTAGTTTTATAATTGACGAGACAGTGTCTTGTCTATAAAATCACGCTACTGTCAATGGCTGGGCATCTTAGAGGTATGACGGAGTACATGTCAGGAGTTGTAATTTGGCACACAGTATTTGGCACCCAAATCATGTGCACATAGAAAAACCAGACTTGTAGGTAGTCAGGGGACCGAGAACCGGGTGAAAATAAAATACAAAATGCTGACTGTTTCTATAAACAGATGCAAGTGCGAGATTTGCACATGTGTTGCTCATTGGGAAGTTTGAAATGCGAATACTGTGAAATTTAATTTTGACAAATGCATGCATTGGAAAGTTTGAAATGCGAATTTTGCATTGAATTTCGACAAATGTGTGACACACATTATGTGTGTATTCTTTTGCTCTCATCATTTCAATTTTCTTGTGTTTTGCTGATACCTCATTTTGATTCGTTTGACCCATTAATTTCATCAAAAATGCCTCATGGATGACCTCGTAGTTGTGGCCGAGGCTGGTAAAGTTTAAATGATCATGCTTAAAACCAGCGATACCAAAGAAGATTGGAGAATGAGACTTGCCATGAGCATCAAAGTGATCCTGCTTACCATAGCCAAGAACAAGCCTGTGACAATGCAACCTGTCATAACCATGACAGCAACAAAGCTCGCTGTAATCTGCACCAGGACACCAAGTACCGATGCCAGCTTTTCCTCATTGGAGAGTGCTAATTTTTCTGTTTTTCTTAGAAAATGGTGCACAGTTGAGCCCCGAGTCTCTGAGACGTAGTCTTGTCCCAAAAATGGCCTTGCTGTTTTAATTTTTTCTTTATATTTAATAGTTATTAATTTATTATTATTTATTTAATTTTGCCACGTTTTGAACCCTTAATTACAATTTTTTTAATTAATTGCAACTCTTTTCTTTTCCAACGTAACTATTAAAATTGTTTCAGTGTTGTTTTGCACAAAAGATAATCAAATTTAAATTTATTTTAATTTTTTATTAATTTCATTAATTTCTGTTTTATAAATTTGTTTGCTTTTTAAAAATTCTTAAAAAATTTTAATTATATACAAATTAATATTGATTGAACTATGGGCTACCTAGTAATTGAATAATTAAGAGATTTATGATAAAAATCTCTAACAAAATTAAATACAAACTTGGTAACATAAATAATGTATTTACAATTGCAAACATTATCAAAATTTAGAGTGGTGTTAAATTCAGTCTGGAAACAAATAAAAATAACAACTTTAGGAGTGTTCTTATAATCATTTTGTACTTCCTGAAGTGTTTAAAAGGATGTTAGATTAAGAATATATTTTTGTGATACTTCTGTGAATTAAATTTGTAATGTATTAATTCATCCTGGCATTTTTAATTCATTTTGAATTTCTCTAAAGTTTTGATTTTTGTCTTTGAAGTATTAATGCAGTTTCCTGTTGTATTTCTTTGAGACTAAACTTATTTCAGCAGATGACCTTGAATTTTTTTAAGATTGTAAAGGTAAATAATTTTTTTAGGTGATGGTTTGCTTAAGAAAAAAGCTTATCCTCATAAGCTTTAACACAACATTCCAGTCATTTGTTATTAAAAATATAACATAATTAAAAAAATTATTGTATTTAAAAATTGATTTACAGTTTTTTTTATTAATTGAATTTAAGGATTATCTGTTATTTTTTTATAAGTCTTAATAACAGTATAATGATGATGATGTTTAATTAATACAATTTTTATTTGAAATAGTATGGATAGCATGAGTGGTAGTCTTCACGGCAATGAATCTAGTTCTCGGCATTCGACTAGTCCTCCGCAGATATCGTCACCAGTAACAAATAGATCTGGAGAAACTTCACCTTTTAATTGGAATGAAACACTTAATTCCACCCAGAACATTCTTTCTAAAGGTAATCTTAAAATTTTTTAAAACTAAAACAGAAATAGCATTTTTTTGTGTTTAAATAAATTTAAAAAAAATTATATATATTATTAATGTTGTTAACTAATGAGTTTTAAATATAAATATTACATAAGAATGTTTTTATTATAGATATAAAAAAATTTTTTGTTGATAATATAATCTAAGTAGGAAAAATAATGTCAAAAATAAAATTTTTAATTTAAAGAAAGAAAATTTTTGTTAATAAGTATCTTGTGTGAATTGTTTTAAACAACAAAACAATAGTTTAAAAATAAATTTGTTTAAAATACAAATTTGTTTTTAAACTATATATAATTCGAAGACAAACTGAAATAAAAAATTTTTTTGGGATCTTTAATATATCTTTCATAGTCACTGGAACACAACCCAAATAGCTTTCAAGACTTTTCACTAGTAGTATTGATACAGACAGTAGCACATAGTTATAGTAGAAGTTACTCTGAAAGAAAATATTTTATAATTTAAAAATTAGTGTTTCATTATTTGAAAAAAGTTTTTTTTCCCCTTAAATTGAAAAAAGACATATTTTTTAAATGAAAAAATTTTATATATGATTTTAAATTTATAATAAATTATTATTCTCTGTTTTATATGGTATAATGTATTGAGAAAGAGATTGTATGTCTAAATATTTGAGATATTTTGCAGCTTATTCATCTCGAGGAACATCAGTTACACCATCTTCATATCCTTCCCATTTTTTAATGACTGGAGACATTCCAGCAACAGATGCATTGATTATGATGGAGTTTGTTAGTGTTGATTCTATACCTGTAAAAAAGAATGATGAATACATTGGAGAAAAATTAAATATTGTTTCTGTTCAGTTCAATACTTTGGATATTACAGGTATATTTATTTCTTGTTTATTATTTAAATATTATTATTGAAATTTTATGTATAAATATAGTAAAGTTTAAGTATATACATGTAATATTTGTGTTTAAAAAAATTATACATAATTAATTTCATTTAGGAAATCAAGAGACTATTGTTGAGCTCATTAGTTTCATGAAAAGAATTTTTACAAAATACTATCACGCTAAAAAGAAAATGCCAGTAAAGGAACCAACTATGAAGTCTGTTGAGAAAACATTTTCTGGATTTGTAAGTCAATTTTTTTACTTATTGAACTTTATTATGTGATAAGTTTGAAGAAACATTTTATAAATATTTTTGTTTTTAATTCACCACTGAAAGACATTAGGCTGAAAATGTATATTACAATATCAGCTTAATACTTAGAATTAATCATTTCATTTAACATAAAAATATAGTGAAAACAAAATAAACTTTTTTCATTAAATTTATTGTTGGTAATATATAAAACTCTATGATGTGGTCATTTGACAATTTAACTCTTATGGAACATGTTACTTGTTATAATTTCTAAAATAATTGTAAATTTGAAATAGAGAAAATAAATACACCAGCCAAGCTACTTTTAACCTATTTGATGTTGAAATTTTTATTTGTTGCCTGTGAAGCCATGTTGAATTTTTGTCTATATTAAGCCTAAAAATTTTTTTTAATAATAATCGTGTTTACTCTATCATAAAAAATTATTTTTTTTATGTTTCACAAACAAAATAAATATATTGAATAATATAAAAATGAAAAAAATTATATTTTAAAAGTTCGTTTTAATATAAAAATTGGAACGTTTTTGATATTAGGTGTCGCTATGACATCTAATATCAAAAACATTCCGATGTAAACATGAATATATTCGGGATCGCCCATGCAGATCAGTGAGGTCAACCCGAATATTTTCGGGAACAACGTAGGACAGGTTAAATTTAATTAACTAATTATTAACATTACAACAACATTTATTATAAATTATTATTTATTTAATAGTAATCTGATGTAATTTAGAAATTGTGCATTATAAATTTTATATTATATATTTAATAAAATATGTTGTAAACTGAATTGAAGAATAATTAAAATTTTATTTCAAATAGGCTTTCCCAACAAAAATGATTACAAAAACAGAGTTAACATTTGATTTTCATCGCTTAAATATTTTGCTATTACATGCTCTAAGCAAGAACAGAAACATAGGAAGAAAAGTTGCTACGGCAACAATGAGTGGTGCACGCTTTCAAGCTTCTATTGGTAAGTTGTCATCTATCAGTATTTCTAGTTTTTTGTCTGTCTGTTTATTCTGTATGTGTGTCAATTGTATATATAAAACTCATACTTAAATTTCTGAAAGTTAATGTTAATAATCCAAATAACAGGAATAAATATTATATATAGGGTGTTCATACGCACCTGGAAAGTCAGGGATTTTCATTCATGTTTGGAAAAAGTCAGGGAATTTGTCTCCTTATCTACCGTGTTGATTTTGTTTGCTGAATATGGCTGACCAAGCGTAGCCATCTACAAGCAGCAAGAATGCTGCAATTTGTAATAGGAAAATATACCAGAATCCATTTTGAAATGGCTTTTTTCACCGTTCTGAAGCGATATAATTTTACAGTTGTGGATTAATAACAGGATAAACTACTTTTGTGTAATAGTGTTTAATTTTCAATTTTAATAATTCAGTGATTATAAAAAGATAAAATTTTTAATTAGAATAAAAAAAATAACTAATTAAAAATTTGTTTGCAAACTTTTAAAAGTTGAAATTGTAATTTATTAGAATGTTCATTTCAAAATAGCTACAAACTGCCCAGCAACAACAGACATCAGACATCTGCCCACTCTCTACCTTTATTATTATACTCTCACCTTTCGAAAATAAAAATGGATGCAAAACTTAATGAGTGTCCTCCTGACAGTCTTGCGAATAGTATAAAAAAAATTGTTTCTGTCAGAAAAATAAAAGGCTGGAATTACAAGGGAGAGTTTCAAAGTTCAGAGGAATACTATCCAATCAGTATATACTGGGTTGAGCATCAATGCAGATGTTCCTGCGCTCCAAAAAGTTTCAAATTGTTGTCTGAAGACAAGGGAAGACCAATCGGTATTAATTGTTTTACGTCGCTTTTTTTGTGTTTGTTCTGTGAGATGTTCGTTATCCTATCATGTGTTCATTGTCTGAATGTAAAAATATTTCACAAAAGTGTTCATTATCCGATTTGTTCATTAACCGATCACCCACTGTATAATATATCTATCATTAACACTTAAAACAGTAAGTATAACTTGACAGTTTTATATTTATAAAATGATCAGTTATTTGGATTAATAACTAATCATAAAATTACCTGGCATTTTTAGAATGATAGTGTGTCTGCTGTTTTTTAATGTATAAAATTATTAACTTGTGTTAAATAATTTACAAAAACGTTTGCAATTATTCCTTAAATATTTAAATGAATTATTTTAAGATTTTAATATCTTGGATTTTACTCAATTATTTTGAAAATGTTATTTGTTATATATTATACAAAATTATGTATAAATCCCGAACTGCATACTGGGATATATATAACAAAAAAATGGACTCACATGAACTTTAACCAGTGCGTAATAAGTAAAATTTGAGATTAGCCGGTGGTACAACCTAGAGCACCACTTAATCAGCTCAGAATCGTAAGATTCAATCTCTAAATTTTTAAGGAGGGCTTTTTTTTAACAATGTTAAAAAGATTAGATGGTAAGTTCTAGATCACGTCAGGATCCTAGATACCAATTAATTGGCTTTATTACACGCGGATTAACATGTGTTCACAAATCAATATGGAGAGGATGAAATCTTTTGATTCAGACATAATGAGACATTCCTTTAACGTAAAAATATAGTGTGTTTAATAAAGCAAAGGAAAAATATACAAATTGGACCTTCAGTATCTGATTATGATATTGTGGAGAGAGAGATCACATTTTCGAGTTAAAAACATACTACCTCACTATATATATTCTTCTGTATTCGGATCAATGTGAATGTTCATTATTTCACTATTTCTTCTCTTGGTTTTGTTCTTGTCTCTTATTAATTCTTGGGCAGCACTTTAATAAACATTTCCGTTAACTTGGGAACTTAGAAATAAACTTTGTATGAACTTTGGGAGTCAGTTATGGGCATTGGCTGTGGAGAGATAATATGGAATACGCCCTTCTCTTATGGAATTTCGTGGTGTACTCCCCTAATGATACTCAAGAATCCCATTTTTTGATGTTTTTCTTCAATGAGATAATTGTATTCTTCCCACGTGATTAGGAAGAGTGGGGGTTTACAGAGGGGTAACTGGACGGTATGTGACTCAAAATTTGTGAAGATAAGGGAAAACAAAAAGGATGTAGAACTTCCGTTGAGAAGGAAGTGAATTTTACCAGTTTCCTTCGTTTTTAACTTAAAAATTTGTTATTAAAATTTAGGAATATTATTTCCAAAACTTATGGATTTGACATCAATTTCCAATTAATAAAGTGGGGTGTTCAAAATCTCACAATAATGTCATAAATCCAAACGTTTTCAAAACTCCTCCTGGATTCTTCTTCATGTAAATCAGCTGGATCTTCTAAAAAGAATAATGAATATGAGAATTTTTGAACAAACTCAAACAATGAAAATTTCAAATGTCCCATTCCTCTGCGCATCAGTTCACGTGATGTGTTTAAAAATGTTCTAACTTAGCCATCAATGTCTAAAACGGTTGTCAATAACAAGGCAAAAATCACACAATAAAAATAAATTTACACGTGTATGAGATGTAATAATCATAACATAAGCATATGTGTTCCTTTATTTTCTTTGAAGTTAAGAATACATAATGTTAAGTTTGTAGTAAAGTCTGCCAGGCCATTGAAAGACCAATCTCTTCCTTTGAATTAACACAGGAGGATATGTTGTATGCTTTAAAAATCTCCATTGCTTCCAACCATTTGAGGTGCTCAAGGTGTGGGGTGGTGACTTAATTTTGCTCCTGTGAAGTCTGCCACAATTTTGGGATCTATGGCGTATGTGGAGAGCAAGGTTGTACATCTATTGTGTTGTATATCCGACTTATGTTGTTTTAACCTGACCCCCATTGAACATTTTGTTTATCCTATGTACACCATATCTCTGTCAAATCAGTTGTCCTAATAGGAACCTATAGAGCCTGGTAATCTGTTGATGTTAGACATGTCTTTCTGTTGTGTAATATGTTGAATAGAGTGGTGCATCTCCTGTATGCAATTCTGACATTACATTTCTTTGTGATAGCAGTGTACAAAGACTTCAAGTGCGGGTTAAAAGTAAGAGGTATCCTCTCAATATCTATCATCTGGTTATCACTCTGTGCCACCGTTGTAATAATGGAAGATGTCTGCACCTGTCTGTGGTGTTCAGCAATTCTTTGTATAAAATTGTGGTAACCGTGTGCTTTGGCTATCCCTTCTAGATGTTTTAACTCTTCTGTGAGTGCCAGTTGTAGTGTAGATGAATGTGAAAAGGCTCTTCTAACTAAGGCCCGAAAGGCTACCATCTTGTACTGGAAGGGATCACACAAGAAGGGGTTTTGAAAACATTTGGATTTACAGTAGAGCATTGATTATTTGACCCCCGATTAACCATCACATCGGTTAACCGACCGTTCTAGTCGGCAAATTTCAAATGTCCGCTAGTGATGTGGCACTACAATATTTGGCTACATCTTGGCTACTTTAATATTTTTGTTAAATTTGTGCATGTTTTAGCTGGCAACATCAGCTCAACCATTGAAGGGAGGCCAGTATTTAAACAAGACTTAATTTTCTAATTATGAGTGGTTGTTTGCTTTGTGAGCAATAAAATAATTTTAAAATAATTTTTAACGATACAATAGTGATGATTATTATTTTTTAAAAAATTTGTTAGGCTTAACATCAATGAAAATTTAATGCAAAGTTGGTTAATAGCAATATACTAATATACTAATTACATGGGATATACTAATAATGTATTTTTTTCATTCTTTTCAGTTATCCAATTTTTTCAGTTACCCGACCAACCTGAGTCTCCAATTGAGTCAGATAATCGATGCTCTACTGTATTACATTTTACTTACATGAACCTTTAATTGGTGCATAATGAGTCCATACAAAGAAATTACACAATTTTGCAAAATTGTGTAATTTCTTTTTTGTTAATTTTTCAATTTTTCCAAAATTATGTACCATATTTATCCGATTGCAAGCCAACCTTTTTAAAAATTTTTTTGTCATTCAAAAAATGTTTCTCAGCTTTGAATCGGTATCATTAACACAGTCGGTAAAGGTGATATCCTTTACTGACGTAGTTGAAAGTTTGAAAAAAATATTGCCAGAAGCCGCCATAGAAGTTTCTGCAAATTTTGTATGCATGTGTGGAAAGTATTTCTAAAGAAGTTGTCTCTAGTATGTTTAAAAAGTGTTTGATCTTGAATGCACTTGATGGCATAGATGTTGCTCTGCACCAGGCAGTGACAAAGAACCAAATGACGATGAATCTGAGTCATCTAATGAGAGCAACTGAACAATTAAATGGTGTAAAATTTATTCCTTATGTTTGATTAATAAATTTTTATTTTTTATTTATTTTCGTTTTTGATTTACATAGGAAAGATTTTAAAAATATATTGAAGAATATGATCTACCTATTATCTTTATGCCTTGACATATCTATCATAAACACAAAAACATTATGAACTTGTTCAACAGAGTTAAGCATTATAATTTATGAACTTTCATGTTTAATTACAATATAATTTTAAGTTTTCATATTTATTTAATACTTAATTATTGTTGTAGATCAACAGTTAATGATATGTAGATAAAATTGAAATACAACCTAGATATTAAAATAAAAATAGGTAAACTACACCACAACACTAAGTTGCTGAGAAAAATTTATTAAAACATAACTAATGTTTTTGGTCAAATCAATTGGCCGTCCTCACGTTAATTGAGAAAAAAATAATGATGTTCTAAAAATAGAGTGTATAAATTCGAATATGAATACAACCTATATAAGATATTAGGGAATAAAAAGGACAGCATTAATAAAGAAGGAAAAGCAGGAGTGTACAGGATTCCTTACAAAAACATGGAATTAGGAATCAAGAAAAACTATATTGGTGTTATTACAAGAAATTTGGGAATCAGACTGAAGGAGCACAAATATAATATCAATAAGAGATCCAATGCCACAGTATTATCTCAGATGGTGCAGACTGAAGGCTCCATAGTAAAATGGGAGGAAGCAGATATTGTTAAGTCTGTGTACTCCCCGACTTTGGCAATGAGTGTAGAAAAGATTGAAATTTATAAGGGCAAGTTGCAAGACACGGGCAAGTTGCAAGACACATGCATTAATGCAAGGGATGCAGAAGCAGAAGAGCTACCATCTGTGTGGAAGTACTTAGTTAAAAAGTTTTTTAAGAGATCACAACTTATGCATTGATTTTTATTTTTGCATTTTTCTATGTTATATACTATATTATTACATGATATATAATATAATATATTTATTTGTTGTTTTATTTTATTTTCTATACATGCATATATATATATATTTTGTTATAATTCTTCTGTTAATTTTGTATTTGAATTTGTTCTATTGTATTTGTATTTGAATTTATATACAGTCAACCCCCGTATAACACGGTAGATACATTCTGCTTTATAAGAATTTCGCGTTGTAGGAATCCTCAAGTACATGAGCCAATCACAGCCCGGCATGTGTGCAGTTTACGGACTACGACTGTTTGAAAGGTTTTCTTCCATAAAATTAATCGATTCTAGACTAATTTCACTCAACATTTCCAAAACACGTATAATTTTTTGGGAATCATCTGTATAAACTATGCTATGAACAAAAAATTGTAGGATTACTTACTGAGTGTGCACCGTTCGACCATGCCATTGCTAAGCTTGTTTTCATTGCGGAGCAGCACACCAAAAGGCGCCACGTTTTCTGATAAGTTATTTTTCTGCAAAAAATTCATTGAACTTTGGATACATCATTAATAGAAATAATTTTTATGATCGTTGAATAAGAAATGTTTTTTTCACAAGAAATGTATAAAATTACAGTACTGTATTAGACTTACAGTACTTAATTTAGGTCTATATACTGTACAGACGATAGTAAACTCAACTTATCCACCTAAACTCTCTGTAGTATGTAATTAGTTCGGCTGCTCGTCCACTATTGGTCTAGATTCGACCAATCCTGTCACGACACGAGTTGGCAATGACGTTTTACCGCATTTTACGAGTCTCTTTTAGTATCTTTATACGAATACCATCACAATTTTTTCATCGTGATATATGAATCTGCATTATATGAACCCGTGTTATAGTGGGGTCTACTGTATTTTATTTTTAGAACATCGTTATTTTTTTCTCAATTAACCTGAGGATGGCCAATTGATTTGACTGAAAACATTAGTTACATTTTAATAAATTTTTCTCAGCAACTTAAGGTGTTGTGATGTATTGTTTTTATTATTTTATTGTTGTGGTAGTTTATTATTAAGGTGGTAGTTTATTATTTGCTGAGTGAGCTTCGTTGAATAAAATAGGTATGCAAGTATTAAATTATTTCTGTTAATATAAAAATTAAATTAGCATATAATAAAATATAGAATTTAATCAATAGTAATAATAAATTGTAAATATTTTAGGTACCAGTTTGCAAATTCAAGGTGCTCTAAATGGTTTTCAAGTTTTGGATCTAATTACTGAAGGAAGTAAACATCAGCGTATTTTAAGCGTAGGACAGGATCCTCTTGTTTCGGCTTCCATAAATGACAGTCATTCAGAAATATATAAATCTTATCAGTTTACTAGAACAAATTCAGAAAATTCAGAAAAAGCTTTTGCTTTTACTATAACAAGAGACTTTTATGAAAATTCAGATATTTTCTCAAGTAAAGAAAAATATCCTTACGAAAGAGCTGATAATGAAATTTTGGAAGTGAAAATTCGAATGGCATCACTGTTTTATACACATTCTCCTCAACTGCTATATGAATTATCTACATGTGCAACCGAATTTAAAGAATATATGTCAATTCTAGTTAGCTCGATTAAATCGGCAGCAGCCGAAGTTGCTATCGGAATAATGTCAAAACGTATAGAAGGAGTATCTGTTTATAATGGGAACATTGATACTTCTCCTTATAGAAAATTTAATTCTGAGAAAAGTTCATATCTTCCCAATATTTTCTCAGAAGAGGAAGTTTATCTAGATTTGAAGTAAGTGAAATTTTGATTTCAAATTAATAAATTGATAAATTAATAAAATATTTCACTTATACAAATGAAAGTACAATAAGAAAAACTGTTGGACTATATATCATATCTACTTATTTTAGAAAACACAAAAACATTATGAACTTGTTCAACAGAGTTAAGCATTATAATTTATGAACTTTCATGTTTAATTACAATATAATTTTAAGTTTTCATATTTATTTAATACTTAATTATTGTTGTAGATCAACAGTTAATGATATGTAGATAAAATTGAAATACAACCTAGATATTAAAATAAAAATAGGTAAACTACACCACAACACTAAGTTGCTGAGAAAAATTTATTAAAACATAACTAATGTTTTTGGTCAAATCAATTGGCCGTCCTCACGTTAATTGAGAAAAAAATAATGATGTTCTAAAAATAGAGTGTATAAATTCGAATATGAATACAACCTATATAAGATATTAGGGAATAAAAAGGACAGCATTAATAAAGAAGGAAAAGCAGGAGTGTACAGGATTCCTTACAAAAACATGGAATTAGGAATCAAGAAAACTATATTGGTGTTATTACAAGAAATTTGGGAATCAGACTGAAGGAGCACAAATATAATATCAATAAGAGATCCAATGCCACAGTATTATCTCAGATGGTGCAGACTGAAGGCTCCATAGTAAAATGGGAGGAAGNTAATATAATATAATATAATACTGTATTATATATGATAAAATTTTGTTATTTAATTTGAAATTCATGTAATATAAATGGCTTCTTTAAATTCATCTTTAAATATGAATTCTTGGAAGCCATTTATATTACATGAATGTCAACTAACACAGTTTTTATTAATTTGATTTAAATTCAATTGCGGCACATATTGAAAAATGAAAGTAGTATCTTTTCCGCATGTGCATTGAAATCTAATTTAAATAGCAATGTCGTCATTGGTTTGTGTCTTGATGTCTAATGATGCAAGAATCACTTGCATCATTAGATGTCATGACACAAACCAATCATCACTAACTTCTGAATCAATAGTTCTGTCGCTGATTGGTCGTGCTGTTGGCTTTTAACATAGGAAGTATAAGGAGTTGACCATCTGTGTGTCTTTTAATCTGTGGTTGGCCGAGTAGCATGTTCAGCAACCGAGTTATCAGAGGGCAACCAGGGCAAATACAAGTTTTAAATTCTGTTTGTGAATTGATTTGTTTGAAAAGTGAGTCATTCGAAAACCAAGGTTTGACCATACTCTGTCATTCAGAAAAATAAATAACATACTATGAGTTGTGAGATGAATACTATTGTCATTTACTTATTAGTAATAAAAAGTGATATTATAATAATTGGCATAAACATAGATCAATCATTTTGTTGTTTATATTATAACATAATGTATTCTTGTTGTATCATCATCTTATCAATGTTTACATACAACCAAGTGCAGTCATTTATCTACATCATACTAGAGTATTGATTTGCACAATTAATGTGGACTATTTATATTTGTTTCAAAGCACAATGTATATACAGTATATGTATTATATATATTTTTAAATTGTCAGAAACCATAAAAAGAATCATGTTATAACATTAATATATATATATATACTTCACTTCATCATGTACATTTTAAGTGTATTTATGTATGTAGTCTTCAAAATTCAGCTATTTATTGTTTTTATGGATCATATGCTATTGTTACTCTCTATGCATTTAAACTGTTTTCTATATGCCTGTTTATATATAACTAAAATTCTTTTCCAAATGTATGAGATTTATACCAAGAGCAATGAGTATTGCCACATTACATGCAAATCATTAGTAACAGAAGAACATGTGTTATTTGGTAGGTAGTACCATCTCTTGTTGCACCCTTGACTGACTGATGACATAGTTAGCTATTTATCACATGATCACACAGATGTAAGACAAAATGGCTGAAAGTGATGTTTTATTCCATCAGTATTGCTGCTGTTATATTTCTTGTGAGAAGGGCAATTTCAGCAATACTGTTTTTTTAGTAAATCCTAAAATATTATTTAAAAATTATTTTTATTGCTTTTTGGTTTGCTATAAACTTCAGCATGCCTGTGAAGAAGTGTGCATGAATACTAGCAGTGTTAGAACGTAGTTGAAGCATTTTTAAGGAGGGAAACACAAGTATTAAAGATTAGTATTATACCAATTATCCTTAAACTGTCCAATTGAATACAACAAGAAAAGGGTTGATGTGATCATAAGGAATGACATTTACTGACCAAAGACCACAAAAACATTGCATCACAACTGCTTGATAGATATTGAAATGAAGAAGTTACTTTGTTCAATATTGTGGCAGGTGACAAAAACCAATTTTATCATTTTGAACCCGAAATGGAGTGTCAAAGTATGAAGTGGCATCACCCGACTTCACTAAGAAAATAAACAAAAACATGTCTCCAATGGAAAAGGTTTATGGGCATTCTTTTGGGATGCAGGGGGTACATTCTGATTGAATTTCTGCAAGATAAAGAAATCATAAATGCTGTTCATTACATCCAGACATAAGAAACTCAGTCATGCATGGCATATAGATGTTCTGGAAAAAGGATTATCTTGCAGCATGACAATTTCACTCTGCTCATCTCACCTTGGAAGAAATTGAGAGGATGGTATGGAAAGTTTTCTTTTCCATCTACAGCCTTGATCCAGCACATTTTGATTGCCATCTTTCTGGATTTGTGAAACACCAGATGTTAAACAAATGCTATGAGAACAGAAAGGCAATTGAACAAACTACTTCAGTACATTTGGGTAGATGGAATGCAGAAGTATAGAAACATCACCAAATGATCTTATAAATAATTGGGCTACCATGTATTCAAACAAATGGAGATACATAGAAAAAGGAATCAAAGTGAATAAATTAACATGAAGTACTTGTTTATCAACAATAAAAGATATTACTTTATAAAAAAAAAAACAAATTGTATTTCTACTTTTCAAATGAACCTTGCAATTCAGTTTTTGATTAGATTTAATATGAATTTTTCTGTACTTGAAAATAGCGAAATTTCTTTTCACTAACTCCTAGATTAATTTGATTATTCATTGTTATGCTAAATATCATTAGTATTTGAAGCATGTTGTTTGAATTACAAAAGAAGTAATATTGATTTTTATATAGATATCTTTAGTTTAAATTATATAATTTTTATTAATTAAAACAATTTTTTTATTTTCATTATTATTATTTTTTTTAACAGATTGGACATTCTTTTACATACTCCAGTCATTATATTTCCATCAGCACCATATAGTCCCGATGTTCTTGTTGTTCATCTTGGGCAGATTACCGTCAAGAATGATCATACAAATTCCACCTCATCAGATTTTAATGATTTATTAAATACTAGTACCGTAGCAGTTGAAATTAGAGACATGAATCTTTTTTCCCTCAACATCGAAGAAAATATAAAGTTATTAGAAAAAACAAAGGTTAATGGGAATCAGACAACAAATTATTCAGTTTTAGATATATATAATAGCTCTAAATTTGGTAAACCTATACTTCATAATACAGTGATAGAAATCAATACGAAAAATACCATATATTCTATAAATACCAGTTTAGTAAAAGATAATGAACAGTTTTGGCCTGGAAGTGATATAATTAATGATTTTTCTCCTATTGCAAAGCAGAAAAAATCTCTCCTCGAGGTAATTTAATTTAATACTTACATTAATTTTTTTATTTAGTTTGATTCATTTATGTTATAGTAATTATAGAGTAAGTTATTACATGTATAATATGGTATCAATGTATGATTTTTTCAATTTATTAATTTATATGTTGAAATAGTCATACATTATCTTAACAAATCACTCATCACTTCAAGAAAAACTCATATAAGCAGAATTTTATTTTTGAATTCTAAAGTCATGCTTAATGTAAACTACATTTTAAATGCTGGATATATTTAAAATTAAAACTGCAAACTACAACTTAATCCAGTAAAGAACAGAAATTTAATCACAAAGTAACATTTTCAACCTTTTTAAACCTGATGATGGCCTTTGAAAAGTTTGAAAGTATTAATTTGTCATTAAATTTTTGTTCTTTACTGGATTAAGGTGTAGTTTAGAGTTTTTAAAGTAAAGGCATGCTTACTTAATAATAATTCTGTTATAAGTATTTTATATGAGAGCAGTTTCCAATAGAATGCATTCAAAACTTCTAAATGCGAGCAAAAGATTTTGTAGATTCAAAATAATGTTTTTAGAAAGTTTATAGAATTCTGATTTAACATTTTCTTTTTATCAGTAATTTAAAAAAATGATCTAATTAAGCCTTGAGATAAATTATTTTATTTTAAATAATTAATTTTTCAGGAGAAAATATTTTATATATTATTTAAAGTACAAAATACAAATGTTTTTATTTGATATAGATAGATAGATACAACATAATAATAGTGATGTAATTGAGAAAATAATTTGGTAGTTTAGGATTTTTACATTTGTCCAGGGTATTATTGTTGATAGTTGACAAACTTTATGACAGTTAGAATAGAATGTTATTGTGTATTTTAAGTTAATTACTGTGTTTTCTCAATTCTAAAGTGTATCTAAGTGTATCTATTTGTAGACTTTTGTCTCAAAAATTGGAGTGTGCATTAGAATTGGGCACAAAGTTGACTTAATGAAGCTTCATTTGCTTTGTTTACTCTTTGCTCTGCTTGGCACTGTATATATGTATTGTGTTGTCAGCATAGACTTAGTATGTGTTCCTCCCACTTGTTTTGGTTTTGGAACTCAAATAGTATAATTACAATTTGGTGGTCTTTTGAACTACAGCAAGTCAAGTGAACAATATCCAACAGATAAGTCTCTTATGAAGCTAAGTTTAAGCAGAGAGTTATCAGCAGCACTGAAGAACATGTATACAGATATTTCAGTGCAATACTCTGTATTTGTGCTACTTGACAGACCCTTCATACTTGATAATGGAGTCCATAAATGAATATATTCAGAAACATTGTGAAGCACTGTGAACATGGAAATAAATGTTTTTCAAAATGAGTTTATTGCTGTTTAAATATATTAACTTTTTGTAGCTGCATGTTTGGTGACATAGTGTGTGCATTACATTTGCAAACTAACTTTTTCAGGTGCACATTAGAATCAAGAAAACACAGTAGTTAAAGTCTAAAAAATAAATTTTTGGAACAGGATTATTATTTCTCAATTAGATTGTTTTATTTTGTCCATATTTTATTTTATTACATTGTTATTAATTTATGTAAAATTCGTATTAATATTTAGCAAAAGACATCAAAAGAATATTTTTAGAATTTGAACTCGGAAAGGCTAGCAATTTCATAATTCATAAATATTTAAATTTTATAAAAAAAATTAATGAACATTTTAAACTACCTCAAGAATTAAAAACATACATTAACCAGAAATATTATCTTGTGTACAAAAAAACTTAATTATTGTGTGATGATGGTTGAAAATCTGAATTCTTTCTAATATAACTACTAAATATTGCTGTTACAGCTAAAAAGTAATATTGTATTTCAGTAATTAAGAACTATTTAAAGTTTAGACATTTTTTTTTATTTAAATAAATAATATATATATTTTTTTAATTTCAGATTTGTGGTCGTGTTGTAACTCCTCTAAAAATAATCCTGACAAATTCTCAGTATAACCAGGTATTGGATACTTTACATAACCTGACATTTAATGCAGCTGATGATGATAAAAGTTCAACAGAAATATTTCTTGAGGTATATTTTTTCTAAATACAGTTATATTTTGAAATATTTAATTAAATGTACCAATATTTTAAATGTACTGTGGTACCTTGGTACTTGAACTTAATTCATTCCAGAAGTCTGAGTACCAAATGAATTTTTCTCACAAGGACTAATGTAAATTAGATTAATCCATTCCAGACCCATAAGAGTACACTTACAAAAGCATTTTAACTAGAACTTAACACAAATTAAACAAGAGCCATAAAATAAGCCATTAAANAAAAAATGTACATCTTATTGTTTCAGTTATAAATTTCTGCTGTCAAATTTAATCTGTATAAATGTAAATATTGCGTATATTTTATGAAATTAAAATAATGCATAGCATAAAATGAGCATGTGTATATTTTGAATCTGATTATATTTTATTCCATATATCCCTGGAAAAAATGATTCTATTAATTATAAAAGTGTTGTTTGTAAGATGGCTATAGATTTATTAGTCAACACCATTAGTTTCTTGAAATAATTTATGCTGGACAAAGCTGCATTTGTATTTTAAAAACTGTTTTTATTGAAGCATAAAAATTTATCAACATTTATAAACACTAATACTGACTTTTTTCTACCTATGCAGTGACTTATTTCAGATGAGAAGATTTCTCTTTACCTCCTAATAACAAAACATTGTTATTTGTAATTTTTACAAATTTTGGTATTTAAATTTAACTTTTTATAGAAAATAAAAAATTTAAAAATATAGATATCAGAAAATTAAAAGATATTTAAATTGGAAATTAATTGCCACCATAAAAATTATAATGGGAATTGAGTTGCTAATTAATATATTATTTTTCTATAGAATCTAGAAGTCAGTTGCACCAATTAAGTATTCAAGTTACTTCTGCAACTTTAAAAGATTTACATCCAGGCACTTCTTATGCAGTTCAAATTCTAGCAGAAAATGATGTAGGTGCAAGCACTCCTTCACGTTTAGTGCATTTTCGAACAAATGAAGAAGGTAAAGTTTAGAAAAAAGTGAATCGAGATTATTCTTCATTGATAATGATTATTTCTGTATGTACAGTAGAGCCTCGATTATCCGACCCAATTGGGGACTGGGGTTGGTCGGATAATTGAAAAGTCGGATAACCGAAAAGTATGAAAAAATCCATTATTAGTGTAGTATATTATTATATCCCATGTAATTAGTATATTAGTATATCGCTANAATATTCACATACTATTCATAAATAAATATATTGAATTGATTTATTTTAAGATAACATTGCATTCATTGATGGTTGAAGATCTGTCACATGTACCAACATCAAAATATAGATATCTCATGAAATCTACTGAAAATCCATGCCAAAAAAGAATTAGATCAAGATCAAGTTTGAAGCCATCATTTATTTCCACTTCCTGTCCTAACATGGGTTATCCTGAAGCAAATCTTTTTATTAATCAGTGTTCTTCACTTCCTGATCATCTGAGCACTCAAAATATATTCAGTCTGCAATTAAATAAATTGCAAAAATTTGGAAAGACAGGTGATATTATTATTATTATTATTTTTTTTAACAGATTGGACATTCTTTTACATACTCCAGTCATTATATTTCCATCAGCACCATATAGTCCCGATGTTCTTGTTGTTCATCTTGGGCAGATTACCGTCAAGAATGATCATACAAATTCCACCTCATCAGATTTTAATGATTTATTAAATACTAGTACCGTAGCAGTTGAAATTAGAGACATGAATCTTTTTTCCCTCAACATCGAAGAAAATATAAAGTTATTAGAAAAAACAAAGGTTAATGGGAATCAGACAACAAATTATTCAGTTTTAGATATATATAATAGCTCTAAATTTGGTAAACCTATACTTCATAATACAGTGATAGAAATCAATACGAAAAATACCATATATTCTATAAATACCAGTTTAGTAAAAGATAATGAACAGTTTTGGCCTGGAAGTGATATAATTAATGATTTTTCTCCTATTGCAAAGCAGAAAAAATCTCTCCTCGAGGTAATTTAATTTAATACTTACATTAATTTTTTTATTTAGTTTGATTCATTTATGTTATAGTAATTATAGAGTAAGTTATTACATGTATAATATGGTATCAATGTATGATTTTTTCAATTTATTAATTTATATGTTGAAATAGTCATACATTATCTTAACAAATCACTCATCACTTCAAGAAAAACTCATATAAGCAGAATTTTATTTTTGAATTCTAAAGTCATGCTTAATGTAAACTACATTTTAAATGCTGGATATATTTAAAATTAAAACTGCAAACTACAACTTAATCCAGTAAAGAACAGAAATTTAATCACAAAGTAACATTTTCAACCTTTTTAAACCTGATGATGGCCTTTGAAAAGTTTGAAAGTATTAATTTGTCATTAAATTTTTGTTCTTTACTGGATTAAGGTGTAGTTTAGAGTTTTTAAAGTAAAGGCATGCTTACTTAATAATAATTCTGTTATAAGTATTTTATATGAGAGCAGTTTCCAATAGAATGCATTCAAAACTTCTAAATGCGAGCAAAAGATTTTGTAGATTCAAAATAATGTTTTTAGAAAGTTTATAGAATTCTGATTTAACATTTTCTTTTTATCAGTAATTTAAAAAAATGATCTAATTAAGCCTTGAGATAAATTATTTTATTTTAAATAATTAATTTTTCAGGAGAAAATATTTTATATATTATTTAAAGTACAAAATACAAATGTTTTTATTTGATATAGATAGATAGATACAACATAATAATAGTGATGTAATTGAGAAAATAATTTGGTAGTTTAGGATTTTTACATTTGTCCAGGGTATTATTGTTGATAGTTGACAAACTTTATGACAGTTAGAATAGAATGTTATTGTGTATTTTAAGTTAATTACTGTGTTTTCTCAATTCTAAAGTGTATCTAAGTGTATCTATTTGTAGACTTTTGTCTCAAAAATTGGAGTGTGCATTAGAATTGGGCACAAAGTTGACTTAATGAAGCTTCATTTGCTTTGTTTACTCTTTGCTCTGCTTGGCACTGTATATATGTATTGTGTTGTCAGCATAGACTTAGTATGTGTTCCTCCCACTTGTTTTGGTTTTGGAACTCAAATAGTATAATTACAATTTGGTGGTCTTTTGAACTACAGCAAGTCAAGTGAACAATATCCAACAGATAAGTCTCTTATGAAGCTAAGTTTAAGCAGAGAGTTATCAGCAGCACTGAAGAACATGTATACAGATATTTCAGTGCAATACTCTGTATTTGTGCTACTTGACAGACCCTTCATACTTGATAATGGAGTCCATAAATGAATATATTCAGAAACATTGTGAAGCACTGTGAACATGGAAATAAATGTTTTTCAAAATGAGTTTATTGCTGTTTAAATATATTAACTTTTTGTAGCTGCATGTTTGGTGACATAGTGTGTGCATTACATTTGCAAACTAACTTTTTCAGGTGCACATTAGAATCAAGAAAACACAGTAGTTAAAGTCTAAAAAATAAATTTTTGGAACAGGATTATTATTTCTCAATTAGATTGTTTTATTTTGTCCATATTTTATTTTATTACATTGTTATTAATTTATGTAAAATTCGTATTAATATTTAGCAAAAGACATCAAAAGAATATTTTTAGAATTTGAACTCGGAAAGGCTAGCAATTTCATAATTCATAAATATTTAAATTTTATAAAAAAAATTAATGAACATTTTAAACTACCTCAAGAATTAAAAACATACATTAACCAGAAATATTATCTTGTGTACAAAAAAACTTAATTATTGTGTGATGATGGTTGAAAATCTGAATTCTTTCTAATATAACTACTAAATATTGCTGTTACAGCTAAAAAGTAATATTGTATTTCAGTAATTAAGAACTATTTAAAGTTTAGACATTTTTTTTTATTTAAATAAATAATATATATATTTTTTTAATTTCAGATTTGTGGTCGTGTTGTAACTCCTCTAAAAATAATCCTGACAAATTCTCAGTATAACCAGGTATTGGATACTTTACATAACCTGACATTTAATGCAGCTGATGATGATAAAAGTTCAACAGAAATATTTCTTGAGGTATATTTTTTCTAAATACAGTTATATTTTGAAATATTTAATTAAATGTACCAATATTTTAAATGTACTGTGGTACCTTGGTACTTGAACTTAATTCATTCCAGAAGTCTGAGTACCAAATGAATTTTTCTCACAAGGACTAATGTAAATTAGATTAATCCATTCCAGACCCATAAGAGTACACTTACAAAAGCATTTTAACTAGAACTTAACACAAATTAAACAAGAGCCATAAAATAAGCCATTAAATAAATAAATAAATAAATAACCATACAGAATAGTTCAAAACCTCTTAGAGAACCTTCTTATATAAAGGTTCTAAAGATGATAAGTTACTGGAGATTTGTATAAGAAGGTTCTCTAAGAGGTTTTAAGTAGGATTTCTCATTTCCCGGTCTTTTGCTTGTCCCGGGATTCTGGGATAAAAGTGAACTGTTTCCCGGGATCCTGGGAAATCCCGGAACAGATTTAATTATTTTTAAGTTATACAAAATATCATGAAATCAAATGATATAATTATTTTTCGTTTTTTAAAGTAGTTTAATATGTTCTGTAACCTCCAAAATCATATTAATAATGCTGTGTAAGATATATAATAAAAATTACCTTTGAATTACATAGAAATTTTCACAAATAGAAAAAATTCATTAAAGTTTGCTGGAAACTGCNAGGACACAACCTTGAGTGCCAACCTTTCCAAGGCACTCCACAAAAGAATCAGAGAACGGCATCTTACCGAGGTCACAGGGATGCTGATTTACATACAGAACCCGAAGAAGTATGACCAAAAAGTTAGAAAGCTTTATCTTTCACATGCAGAAAAAATGTAATGTGCCAGGAGATGAAAAATATGCTGAATTGTGTAAATACATATGTAGTAGAACCAGCAGCAATGGCAGAGGATATTATGGAGGTGGAAAACAATGATTCAGATAACCCGGATTCCCTGAATTTCACATTGGAACAAGAATTAGAGATCCAAATATAGCATGAGAAAGAAAACTTCATGAAACGTAAAGAAACTAGTACGGAGAAGGATTATAAGTTATTAAAAAAGGAAATGGCTGTTTATGAAAGTGAGGGAGTCAGACGTGAAAACTTATCTTTGATTTATCATTATTTGATGACACTGAAACCAACTAGCATAAAGGCAGAAAAGGCCTTCTCTGCAGCNAAAGTGAGGGAGTCAGACGTGAAAACTTATCTTTGATTTATCATTATTTGATGACACTGAAACCAACTAGCATAAAGGCAGAAAAGGCCTTCTCTGCAGCGAAATATATATGCAGTTCATTAAGAAGTAGGTTGGGAGACAACACCATCAATACCATTTGTTTCTTGAGATCCTACTTTTATGTAAGAAGTTTTACTGATTTATAGTGACCAGTCTAAATAATAAAAGTTTCTTAAGTATTTAAAAAAAAATGTTTTTATTTCTTTTAAAAAAACCCATAAATTTCTGGATAGATAGATAGATAGATAGATAACACTTTATTGCACCAAAAAACATCCACACATCATTCCAGTTGGATCCGTGCTGGATCCAGCTGGAATGATGTTGGTCCAGCAAAAATCCAGCTGGATTAAAAACACTGCTGGATTGCAATCCCTAATTAAATTATATACAGTAAAATTTTTCTAATTCAAACCTCTAACTCAAATCTTTAACTTGCAGAAAACTTAATATAGGGATTTAACATCTCCAACTTGAATTGCTTAACTCGAATTTTCTCCAAGTCAAAGTTTTTCATGATCCCTGATACTGATTTATGTTACTTTCAACTTCACTGACTTGAATTTTAATATTTATTCTATCCAAAATGATCCTAATTATCAAATTTCCATGAAATTTTCAGACAGTTGTAACTACTCTTTAACACCAATTTTCACACAATGCTCCAGTCCAAAGTGAGNGAAAAGTTCTGCTACCGAGAATGCCCTTTCTGATTCAATTGATGTTAGTGGAATTGTCTTTAATGCATTTAAGAGAAGACAGATGTTATATGTTTTTTTCACCTATAGCCTGGAAGATTTCTAGTTCATTTTCAAGATTGTAGTACTTCTTTTGCTCTCTAGTATTCTTGATTTGTCTACCTCAGCTGCTTTAATAGTGGCATCAAGCTTATAGCTCGATAATTTAGCAATTTGTTTGGCTTTAATAATCAGGTTTATGAAGAAAAACTTCATACTTTCAGACTTCATATTCGTTTGTATCCTTGCCCAATTTGCACAACCTGGCGTTATGCAGTTATTGAAGTTACTGGACATGGTTAAAAATTAAGACAGCTTAAGCACAATTATTCCAGATATTACAGGTTCTGACAAAAAATTTTTAGAGTCCTGCCACAAATAAGCTATGTATTGATTATTGACTATTTGTGACATGCCATAATGAGGGAAAATTAAAAAAAACTAATAAATGAGTTTAAAATTAATAAATACAAATGTATTCTGACAGTTTATGAGTTAATTATACTTTCTATTTGCAAAATTTCCTCAACGTTAACACAAAATAGGAAAAAAGTGAACTTTTAAGAAATTTGTGGAATTTCCTGGAATGAGAATTTCCCGGGATATTTCCCTAGTTAAAAAAACAACTGTGATCCTGGGATCTGGTTTGAGAAACCTTAGTTTTAACTATATCCATACAGAATACAGAGTAGCAAAACATGCCTATTAATTTTATTGGGTTGAATTTTTTGAGTATTTTTAACACTGTCATTACTTAACATAAATATGTGATTTAATTAAAGCAGTTGTTAAATTTAGCACACTGTTGCTAATGCGTGATTGTATTCTTTGATTAGAAGCTTATTTTAAAACTTCTTACTTCATATTTAGTTTGCTTAAAACAAGTTGAAATGTTTGTAGGAGAAATGCATATCAGTTATATTAAGCTTTTTGAGTTTTGTAAAGGATATAATGCTATATGAACAGTAAAAATATGGGGTAAAAAGTATCATAATGTGAATGGGGAAGAGGCTCCCAAATTTTAATATCCTTTCCATTGTTTATTCTTTAGTTCAGAATTTCCCAGATGAAACTTTCATTCAGAAAATTTTGAAATAAAGGGCAAACAATGGAAAAGCATCAAAAAGCTGTCAATGAAGAAAAATTACAGGAAGAAATTGTTAAAAATTGACAAATAACAGCTGGTGGACTGGCAAGAAATCACAATCTGTCAGACATGTATTGTTGAAACACTTCATTGACTTGGAATGGTAGCAAAACATGATAATTGGGTTCCATACACATTAAAATAAAAAACAAACTGGATTGAGTATAATTTTTTTGGTAAAGATAGGCAACTACAGTTTCACTTTTTTTTAAAATTAGTACACATTTTTATCATAGAAAACATTTTAAGAATGATAAAAATAAAGTTAAAAGTAAAATGTTTGTTGTTAACCAAAAATTTGTTCTAGCAGATTGTGCTTGTTTGGTCAAGTACCAAGAAATTTTTTCCCAAACATGTGTTCATATACTGAATTGTTCAAGTTTGGTGCAATTTGAGTACTGAGATACCACTGTATATGAAAAAACAGATTTATTTAGATGTTTAAAATTATGTATCAGATTTGAAGTTTTTGACATTTCTCCTTCAAGAAAGTGTTAAAAACGATGTCTCTCAGTAAAAATACATAGAAGAAACTAAAATGTCTTCACTTTTTTCATGTATAATCACCAGAATGTGACAAAAAGTGAAGACATTTTAGTTTATTTTTACTGTGTAAATATCATCAGTCATTTTTAATTGAACAATGTCACTGTTTTCTTGAAGTATTCGATGTTCAAAGCCTTCACTTAAAGGTATGCATTTAAACTGTTTTCTATATGCCTGTTTATATATAACTAAAATTCTTTTCCAAATGTATGAGATTTATACCAAGAGCAATGAGTATTGCCACATTACATGCAAATCATTAGTAACAGAAGAACATGTGTTATTTGGTAGGTAGTACCATCTCTTGTTGCACCCTTGACTGACTGATGACATAGCTATTTATCACATGATCACACAGATGTAAGACAAAATGGCTGAAAGTGATGTTTTATTCCATCAGTATTGCTGCTGTTATATTTCTTGTGAGAAGGGCAATTTCAGCAATACTGTTTTTTTAGTAAATCCTAAAATATTATTTAAAAATTATTTTTATTGCTTTTTGGTTTGCTATAAACTTCAGCATGCCTGTGAAGAAGTGTGCATGAATACTAGCAGTGTTAGAACGTAGTTGAAGCATTTTTAAGGAGGGAAACACAAGTATTAAAGATTAGTATTATACCAATTATCCTTAAACTGTCCAATTGAATACAACAAGAAAAGGGTTGATGTGATCATAAGGAATGACATTTACTGACCAAAGACCACAAAAACATTGCATCACAACTGCTTGATAGATATTGAAATGAAGAAGTTACTTTGTTCAATATTGTGGCAGGTGACAAAAACCAATTTTATCATTTTGAACCNAGGTGTGACTTTAAAGATCAAAATAAAGAAAATTAGATTTGTTAATACAATTCTAATTTTATTTTGTTTAATCACAAATAAAATATCAAATGCATGTAAATGCAAACTGAAATGACTGACATTTTAAACTTTAAGGAAAAATCTTGTAAAATCGACAACATAATTTCTTCGTGTAAATCTGGACGATCGGAAACCTTTTATGCCAATTATTAATAATTGAATCCACTCTCCATCGATTACACTTATGAGTTTATCTGAATAATCATCTGTTTTCACATGGGAATGGATTAAAACTTATATCGGGCTTCTGTATGATTTTGGAATTTAATTCAAAAGCTTTGCTTTTCCTATTGCTATTCACCTTTATTCCTGACAATACACAAGGATTCAAACGACCCATATAAAATACTTTTGTTTTTAAACACCAGAGAGTGATCATCAGGTAAAAAATGTGAATACACAGTTCATAAAAATTATTGCAAAAATGCAAAGAATCCTTTGCATGCACATATAGGACGACCTAGGTTTTTGAAGCAGTGAAAAATGAATAAAAATCTCGTCTTATATGCAAGTAAATATGGTATTTTATCACAATAACTTTTAAGCTTAAAAAATTTTTTTAGGTTACTTATTGTTAGTAAAATAATATAATAACTACTTGTGTATAATCTATTGTTATGATTTCTAATTTTTAAACTTGTTCAATTAACAAGTGTTTTCCAACATCCAGAATATTATTAGATGTTATGTTTGCAGCTAATGATTCAAATAACAAATATAACATTAGTATATTAATAAATATAGTAATCTTTCAGTTGACATGGTTAATGCATCCCAGAAATGTTGTGCACCAATTGAAATTATACTAATTGAATGCACTAAAATATTAAATATAATCAATACAAACTAATTAATCTCAAGATTTGTTGATCAGAAATGTTTATTAACTTTCTTGATAGCTTTCTTCTTATTGTTGATTTATTAAAATGTTAGCAGTGTGTGGCACAATTACACTGCTAATATACATTTGATATATATTTTGTATTAAAATCTTTTTATGTTGCAATGTTAATCATATTTGTTTTCATTATAGTTACATATTTATAAGGATAGAAGAGTAGGGGGCTTTACTTGTCTGTCCAAAAATTTGTGATGCTTAATTGATTCCAATCTGCCATTTCTATTGTTGTTGTTGTTATTTTTTTTGGATGGATAAAGTGTCATAATGATTTTAAGCTGTGTTTTATATAGTGAGAGTAAATTTAGGAATCAGTGTGTGTTAATAAAAAAAGGAATTATTTTAAATTAATGACATTGATTAGCTATGTGTAAGATGGACATTTGGGGAAAAAATTTATATATTATAAAAATTTAATTAAAAAAATTAAAGTAATTTTTTTAATGTAAACTTTATAAAGTAGAGTAGAACTGCACTGTAACAAAACCATATGTACAGCCATCATTATTCTTGAGTAGGAATCATTTTCATTTCAAAACTATAAACATGAAACTAATTAGGAAAGTTTTTAATAGATATATAACTATTATCAGTGTATATGTAGATTATGGCAAACTTTTAAATAAAAATGTGTTGTAAGTAATCAATTGTTGATTAAATCTTTAAAGCAAGAGAGAAATAATGGTGGCAGTTCTAGTTTGATGGAGTTTGGAGTTGGATTTGTGTGATTGGTAGATCATGTTCCATAGATGAAACTTTGATTTTGTTTGGTTGTATGACATTTTTTATGCTTATTCCACTATACAGCTACACAGTATATATCTATAATCACACAAAGTGTAGTAAAGATATACTGTATGCAATATTCAAAAGTTTAATGGTAAGATTATAAAATATAAATAACAAACATGAAAAATTAGGCGCATACCAATCCAATATTCTGAGAAAAATTTGGCTAATTGTTGGCAGACACATAGATGACACATGACAACAGATGACCAGTGGCAACACAAATGATTTAATTTCATAATGTTAATAGATGTTTGAATAACTTTATGGCCAACATTTTCTATTTGGACAATTTTTGGTGATAAAATTCATTATTATCACCAAATTAATCATATAATTAATATCTGAAATAACATTTAAAAATTTTAAAAATATTATTGCACTCCTTATATAATAAACAAAAATCTGGAATTAGATTTAAGCCAAATTTTTAGTTATCTAATGATCTATAAATGCCAATTTATTTCTTATAATAATATTCATAAACATTTTCATTATAAAATATTAAATTATTAAAAAACGATAATTGTACAAAATAATGGTTAACACTACTGTTTGTAAGTGGTTTTTGATTGGGTTTCTCCAGTTCTATCCTAGCAGTGTTCTCATTTAAAATCATTTATATTACATTTAATTTGTTATTACTGTTATTTTCTAAATTAATTATAAATTAGCTCTGAAATAATATAAATATCTTTTTTTACTATTGAACACAAGACAGTGTTATTATTAAAACACTTGGCATTTATCCACTTTATTCAGTTGATACGGGCACTTTTACACGTTTCGGGCGTATAGCCCCTCATCAGTCAACTGATAAGAAGAAACATTTACATTAGATTATTACATTTTTTAAAAATTATATAACGATTCTAAAACATGTAACTTTTAAGACATACCATTTAAAAAATTCAATGACACTCGTACAGCACAAGTTATTATTTACTGCTGTTAGGATAAGTTGATAACAATGATAACATAAACCTACATACATTAAATTAAAAAATAAAACACTGTATAATTATACACGCTTATACTGATAACGCACATAACTATACTAATTTTTGTGTACAATTGTTTCTTACTGTTAAGTAGCCGTGACANAAGAAAATTGAATACTCTGTTCGACTAGTTGACGATACTTTTGTTGTGTCTTTCTGCGTGTTTGTTCTTTATTTGTTGGATGGTGATTGTGTTAACCATGGTCAAATGGGCGAAATAACTTTTTAAGAAAATTTAAATGTTAATGTGATTTTATTTTAAAGTGTATATATTATGACTTTGAATGTGCTTGACTTGAGTAGTGAATGAATCTTGCTTAAAGTGAAGTTGGAGTTTATTAACTGGTTGTATCACAAATGACCTGCTGTTTATTCTTGTCTGACTACTGCCGTATAACTTTTTAAAAATTAGTGTTGTTTAAAGAGATATCTAATGATCTAAATGAATATTCATTTGTAGACAATTTTAAATATGTATATTTAGTATCAACTGAATAAAGTGGATAAACGCCAAGTGTTTTAATAATAACACAGTCTTGTGTTCAATAGTAAATAAATATGAAAACACGGTTTCAAAAAACGAATAATATAAATACCCTTAAAAAATTTTAAAAGTTACCTGATAAAATATTAGATTAAATTTAATTCAAACCAAACAATCTGCCAAATTATCAGGTATTATATGACTAATTTAATGATTAGTAACTAATTAATTAGTTTCTAATCATTAAATAATTAGGCAGATCATTTGGTTTGAATTAACTATAAATCAGATTTAGAGATGTTGATATATATTACATTAAATTATTCATTGATATTTAATATTATTGATTTATTAAAAAATATTCACATACTATTCATAAATAAATATATTGAATTGATTTATTTTAAGATAACATTGCATTCATTGATGGTTGAAGATCTGTCACATGTACCAACATCAAAATATAGATATCTCATGAAATCTACTGAAAATCCATGCCAAAAAAGAATTAGATCAAGATCAAGTTTGAAGCCATCATTTATTTCCACTTCCTGTCCTAACATGGGTTATCCTGAAGCAAATCTTTTTATTAATCAGTGTTCTTCACTTCCTGATCATCTGAGCACTCAAAATATATTCAGTCTGCAATTAAATAAATTGCAAAAATTTGGAAAGACAGGTGATATTATTATTATTATTATTATTATTTTAATAATATCAATTTTCCATAGTTTTATTTTTGAAAATTGAATAAGTGAAAAAAAGACAATGAAAAATAAGTTACTAGTTTTTTTGTATTAATAAATTTGAAATAATTAATCAAAATTAGCTAGAAATTAATCTAAAAAAATTTAGCAATGTTTAATTGTTAATTTCCAACTGAGAATAATCAACAACACTTTCTATTAATGATTTTTTTTAAGCTAATTAAATTATTGCAAAACTGGAGGAAATGTCAGGAAAACTAAAAAAATTCACATCTTAATGCAACTCCAGTAATACAAGTTTAATAACCAATGATTTCAACCTAATTTGATCGGTCTTCCTCTGTTGTTAAATACATAAATAAAACTTTTGTTTTTTCTTGTTTAAAAGTTTACTTGTTTGGTATTTATTATGTATTCAACAACTGAAAAAGACCTATTAAATTAGGTAAAAGATATTCTTGTTATTATAAAGACACTGAATATGCCTTACACACTTTTCCAGTAATTAACGTTAATTAAAACAGAGCTGACAGAGGAACCACAAATAAAGCCATATTTGTGATAAATTGTTTTCAGATTATCAAAATAAGGACATCTACCATTATCAATCCAAAATTGAAGCGGATTGGAATCTGAAGGCTTGATAGGTTGTTCGATATACTGCTGAAAAGCAATAATTATGTTTGCTGTTGAATTATTTGTATTTGGTGAATGTCTACTCTTTCGTAAAAATCAAAAAGATCGGGTTCATTATATAGGCTTATTTCTTTATTTTCTTGTTCATTTTCAAGTCCAGATGGTTCAGTATCCATTGAAGTTGAATTTATTCTATTTGCAAGTTCATTTGTTATTGCTTTTGAAAAATTTATATAGTTCTCCTTAAGTTGAAATGCAGGGTTCTTGAATCTAAAAAGGATCTAAAATTGTTGAAATGCCACATACAATTTGTGCTTTGTTTAATTTTTTCTTCATTTAATCTTTTGATTACTTCTCCCTTCAATGATTGCAATAACTTTTTACTACATTCTGTAGTAACAGAATTTTCTAGTGTCTTTAGCTTGATGTGAAGTCCATGAACAATTGAAGATATTGCAACATACCTATCACTCAAGATGCTGTTAGTTGCTTGTTTAAAAGGTTCCAGACAATTTTTTCATCTGTCAGTGGCAAGAGAGATTCTGGTAATGAAATAAGAGCGAATCTTAACATAATCTCTTAATTCCAATAATCTTCTTATCATATTTAAATAACTATTCCAACAAGTTACTACTTCCTGAGTAGGGATTGCAATTGCTGGATCCCTCATCCAGCAATCCAGCTGGATCCAGCACATTTTTCGGCCTGTTGGATCCAGCACCTGGTGCTGGATCCAGCAATGCGGATCCGCAAATACTCAATTAACTTTCTAAATAAAGGCGCAAAAGTCTATATTGTCAGCCTTGCTGCTTTGCTACGTGCACTATCGCTCGGCGGTGAGAGCGACGTTGCCGTTCAGTGCGGCACGCACTACACCCCTTCTCTACACAGCACCCCCCACCTTTTACCTCTACTGATCTAATTGCCAGTTGACTTTCCGTTCTCACTAAACAAAGTGTCTTCGCGCTAAATAAAATAAGTAACTCCTATCCTAGTCCTGGTGCATAATTCTAATTTACGGTCGGTTGTGACATCAATGAATCACGTGACGGAACGATCGCAGTTTAAACTGACCGTAGAATCTCTCTTCAGAAGAGTCAAGTATGATAACTGCTGACACAACCCTGAAATTTGTCTTAGACAAACTAAAAAGCCAGGACACAACCTTGAGTGCCAACCTTTCCAAGGCACTCCACAAAAGAATCAGAGAACGGCATCTTACCGAGGTCACAGGGATGCTGATTTACATACAGAACCCGAAGAAGTATGACCAAAAAGTTAGAAAGCTTTATCTTTCACATGCAGAAAAAATGTAATGTGCCAGGAGATGAAAAATATGCTGAATCGTGTAAATACATATGTAGTAGAACCAGCAGCAATGGCAGAGGATATTACGGAGGTGGAAAACGATGATTCAGATAACCCGGATTCCCTGAATTTCACATTGGAACAAGAATTAGAGATCCAAATAAAGCGTGAGAAAGAAAACTTCATGAAACGGAAAGAAACTAGTACGGAGAAGGATTATAAGTTATTAAAAAAGGAAATGGCTGTTTATGAAAGTGAGGGAGTCAGACGTGAAAACTTATCTTTGATTTATCATTATTTGATGACACTGAAACCAACTAGCATAAAGGCAGAAAAGGCCTTCTCTGCAGCGAAATATATATGCAGTTCATTAAGAAGTAGGTTGGAAGACAACACCATCAATACCATTTGTTTCTTGAGATCCTACTTCCAGAAAAGTCAAAAAAATAACAGAAGTGATTGATTTAATTTTATTTAATCCTTTAAAATACTTTATTCAAGGCAAGACTAATATTTTATAACTTCTACTCTAATTCTATTAAGTAAGAGTTTTTAACTTTTATTCTATAAGTATTTAGTAGGCTAGGCTAGACAATTTTATTGTTAAAATTAGTGAGAAACTGAGACTATCTAGTTAGTTAAATAGTTAATTAAATTAATGAGTATCAGTATCTTAGATATATGATGATATGAATGTATGTGATTCATGATTGTGATAATAATAACTAACTACTAGACTACTAGTAATTACTTACTCACTACTTTACTAACACTAATAATTAAATTATTTATAAATAACTACAGACTGATATGTAGAGCCTATATAAGAAAACTGGTAAGACTGATAGCCACTTAGCCACTGATTATCCGTCCTTACATTATTATAATATAATATATTAATATAAATTAATTAGTAAAATTACCTTTGCTATTATTTTAACTTAAAGATTACATTATAATTATAATCTAACTAAACATTTAAAGTTAATTATTTCTATCTCAAGTGTTAAACCGAACCAAAGTTAAGTTTACTACCTAAATGTGTAAGAAGTTTTACTGATTTATAGTGAGCAGTCTAAATAATAAAAGTTTCTTAAGTACAGTATTTAAAAAAAATGTTTTATTTCTTTTAAAAAACCCATAAATTTTTGGATAGATAGATAGATAACACTTTATTACACCAAAAAACATTCACGCATCATTGCAGCTGGATCCAGCGCGGATCCAGCTGGAATGATGTCGGTCCAGCAAAAATCCAGCTGGATTAAAAACACTGCTGGATTTCAATCCCTATTCCTGAGTTACTTTATTAGGTGTTTTTCTTTGTACAGTTTGGATATCTTAAAGTTTATCAGAAGCTTTGGTTAAGGTTTTAAAGTGAGTTAATATTTCTTTATATTTTTTTTTATTCTTATCTGTTCTTCATCTCCTAATAGAGTATCTTGAACAACAAGGTGTGAGCAAAATGGTAGATTCTTGATTTTAATAATCTGCAAGCATCTAATATGTTGGCTGCATTATTGGTAGTTATACATATGATTTTATCTTCTAGAGACTATTTTAAAAAGCTTCTTTCAACATATTTGCTATATTCTCAGATATATGAGCAATAGACACTATCAGTGTTTCAAGTACACATAATGTAAATATATCATTAAAAATAAAAAGGCTTGTTACAGTTAAATATGACTGATTATTTATAGAAGTCCACATATCAGTTGTTATGGATACATGTTTCACTTTATTGGTCATAACTTTTAATTTTTCTGTATAAGTTGGGTACAAGTATGTTGCTGATATATTTTGGTGTGTGTAGTTTATATCGTGATTCTAATTTGTGTATAAATTACACAAATCTCTTATCTTGAACAATAGAATATGGTTGTGAATCACATGCAATGAATATTGCCAATTTTTTATTTATAATAGTTGCCCTTTTGCTACTGATATTGAAAACATCGTGATCATTGATGAAATATTGGCTTACTTTTTCTTGTCGTGTCATTGATCACTTCAATGATGAGTTTTCTAAGTCTCAAGCTTTAGATGTTGAAGCTGAGTCATCATTATTGCTAATAAAAACTTTTCTAAATTTAACAGAATGCAAACGCTTTATATGATTCCTTAAATTTGTTGTTTCCTGATGTTTTGTACATATTTTTTACATAAAATACATTTTGCAAGTTGTTTACCTTTCTCATCAATTTGGGAATACTCCCAAATATTAGATTTTTTTCTGACAGACATTCTACAATTAAAGATAACAGAAATATTGTTTTCCTTGACAATACTTCAAACTACATGGCTAATTGTTAAACTTAGAAAGAATAGATGGTGCTTTACTCAAAGGTGACAATATTAAAAAATTTTAAAACTAATTTTAAAATATGATGATAAAAAATGAATATTAATTTCATGTGAAAAGTACGACAGAAAACTGAACTATCAATAGTGATGACATTTTTAAAATATCAATAGTACTGATGGTGATATAGTATCTGAGCCCTAGTTTCAGCTTCGACTATTATTGACAATCTTGTTATTAAGTTATATTGATAGAGTTATGTTAAGGTGTGAATTTTTTAGTTTTTTAAGATAACTTTTTGCATCAAGTTATTTATTATTTATAATTTCAGGTCATACATTGAATTTTGTAAGTAAATTATTTTCTTACAGAAAATTATTTATCTGTACTGATCAATATTTAATTATATGCAGAAAAAGTAATTTTAAAATTAGAACTTATAAAATCCAAATTTAAAAATTTTTAAGATTATTAGATATAGTTTTAAAACTGTATTGAATAACATTATAAAATTTGAAAAGAAAAACCATAAAATATTTTTTAAAAATATTCTAAATAATTAATTTCTACTGTTTTATTTTATAAATTGTTTTATACTTAATATTTTGATAAATTGATCGTGTAACATTTTCATTATAGACTTATTGATTTTGATATACAGGGTGGGCCAACGAAAACGAAACGGTAGAGTTATCGTGTTCGTCCAAGCAAATCGCTCGGACAGGTCGATTTTATTCTCAAGGGGGAATAGTTTTTCCTTGCATATGTGGTCCAGCTTAAAAGGTTTTTTTTTTTTATGTTTGTTAATAGTTTTTGTTACTTTTTTCCAAAATAAGTGTTTGTTTAGTTAATAAAAAAATGAATGAGTTTTTAAAATTTTTTGTTGTCTGTTGTATTGAACTTTATTGCAGAAGATGTTCCCCTTGAGAATAAAATCGATCTGTTTGAGCGATTTGCTTGGACGAACAGGATAACTCTGCCATTTCATTTTCGATGGGCCACTTTCTATATTAATACAATATGGAATAATTTAAGAATAATTATCAAATTTTTTGATTTAATGTTCTGAGATAATTTGTTAATATTTTTTGTTATATTTAAGTAATTATATTGTATAGAGTTGCACATGAGAAAGTAGCCCTATTCCATTTCAAGTTCTGGTGTTAGTGTATTGCATGGAGTGAGTGAACTACATCAGTTGAGTGGAATATTGTGCTGAATAAACAATGGTGTCCTGTATTGTGCAAATTACACACAGTATCAGCCATGCAATCCCTGCCATTAATGTCATTATGCTACACAAGGTGTTTCAAACAATTCAACATTTAGATAAAAATTACATCTCAATTCAGTATTTCCAGCAAAGAAATTCAATCTTCTAACGTTTTTGGCCACTACTTTATTGGCCCTCATCAGGAACTGCAAACTGAAAAAATTGTTCTGTAAATAGAACGTTGTTGTATTCTAAGTTTAAAAGTTTTAAATAATCTCAAATACAGGTTGTGACGTATCCTTATATGACATATATTCATTTTACAGTTCCTGACGAGGGACGATAAAGTAGTGGCTGAAAATGCTAGAAGATTGAATTTCTTTGCTGGAAATATTGAATTGAAGTGTAATTCTTATCTTCATGTACAGTTCCAGTTTTCTAGTACAGTTGGTGTTTATTGTTTTAATTCAACATTTGCAGCTGTTTATAGATGCAACAGGTGACCACTTTCAACATCTTTCATAATGATACCAGCAGTTGACTTCTGTGTTTATTATTGGGCTACAATTTGAAAAAATTGTAGGCCTATAAATTCCCACTGTCATCTGTCTGTTTTTAATCTCGAAAACGGAGTTAGATAGATGAAAGACGAGACCAGATATTGAAACCTTAGGGGAAGGAGGTCCCAATTAATTATATAACAACTTCCAATGCAAACCAGAAGTCATGTTATTTCAATTCAGAAATTTTTTTTTGTAAGGTGTTAGATAACTGGCACAACTCTATTGTTAAAGGAAAAGTATGATATACAGGGGCAAGCCACTATTAATTTGACTTGGAGAGCATATATTTTAAATGAATTAAAAATATGATTAAAATTGCAACCCAGCATTGTGATGATGTCAATAAATAATTGCTTCTCGTATTGTTGTTTCTCTGCTAGGTTAAGAACTGGAGCTACTTTTTTGTGTGTCATCCTGTGTAAAAATAACATATTTAAGTTGATTAAAATAGTAATTTTTTTTTTATTAATAGGTAATTTCAATGATACTGTCACAAAAGAATGTTCAAGTTATCCGAATACACCTCCACCTTCTCCATCAGGATCAGCTGAAATGAATTTTGACGAAAATGCTTTAGTCCAGATAAACATCACTCATGTTGATAAAAGTTCTTCAATTTTTTCAACAAAATATAATAATGTATGAATTTTTATTTATTTCATGTACAAATATTTTAAATAATTGATTTTTTTAAATATTTTCATTTTGTGTTAATGACAGAAATTTTATGCAGTAGATATTTTACTAAACTACATTCCATATAATTAATTATCTTAATTTGAATATACATATAATATACAAAAACCATAAAACAATAATAAATAAAAATTTGTTTTATATTCAGGGTGTCTTATGCAAATTTTTAACAAGTGAAGTTTATTTTAATACGTATTTTAAACAAAATACCAAAAATCTTTAAGCTCCAGCACCTTAAACTAAATTTTAATTATGCTAATGTTTTCGTCCATGTTTAATGGTCATCTTCAGGGTATTTGAAGAATATCATCATTCAAACAAACAAAATTTTTTTTTAAAACTGTGGAATGATTGTTAAGAGTCAATATTCAGATCAATTTTTACATAAAAGGCTTGTTTAAAAATTATAGGAACACTCCAAAGTAGGATTACTAAATACAATTGGTATAATTCACTAAAATATAAAAAAATGGGTCAAGTTGGGGAGGAATAAATTGAGTCACATGCTACAGGATTTCATAAAATGTTTTCCATGCTTAAGAGTGTGTGTCAATGTCTTTATAATTGACAGATTTGGCCTTCAGGGATGATTTATGTAATTTTAATTATTTGAGATGCTTCAGGTCAGCTATCTCACACAAAGGTCTCAAGATCCTGTCTCCCTACAGGTTCATTTCCACATTATTCTCCATTGTATATGCTGCTAAGGCCATCACAAGATGTCTCTTCTTTATGGTTATGGTTATCTCATGTTCCCTAATTCTCACTTTGAGAGAACAAGAGATGGCTCCAATGTATTTTAGACCTGTGTTAAACCTGCAATCCTTGATTAGAATACTATATAATCCCAGGAAACACATCCAAAAGACTCAATGTCTTCTCTGAAGTGGTCGGTTGGGACTTGCCAAACTGTTGGTAGTTCCTGTCCCCAAATTAAAATTTGCTTTGAAAGGGAAATTTGTCATCTCAAAATTTGCTTTTGGATTCTTGAAGTTTTAATCAATTTCAAGGATCCAAAAGACTTTATTGAGGGAACTAAACAACATTCCAAAAAAGATCTTTTGATGAAAAAACACAAATTACTAGTGTGTGCAAAAATTTGTATAGATCACGGAGGAGGAGTGTATTGAAGAAAACACTAAATTTACTTATATTTCTGTCAAAAACTTTTTTGTAAATTCAGTTCTTGAACTTAGTAGATAAACCTTATATTATCATAAAAATCTTAACATTTTCAGTTCGTTTTATGAAATAAAGATAACATAGTCAAAAGATTAAAATATGTCTGCTTTAGGAGGAAAACATGTTTTGTTGATTTCAATATTAAATGTAATGAGACATTGAATAACTGTTTGACTGAAAATATTTTTTAATTTAAAATTAAAAATTATATTTTATTGAGTTTTATAATTAATTTGATTGCAAAGTAAGATACATGACTTGGTAGTTTAATGTTTTAATTAATTACACATTTTATTATAGTTTTATATTTTATATTTGCTTGATAGATTATTTTAAAGGAAATCTTAAGTTAAGAAAAATTAATTCTTATAATTTCTTTCTATTTTTTCAGATTGACAGAATTATTGATATTAATTTTAATTGTCTGGAAACTATTGTTAATGTACAAACTTGGGTTATGGTGTTAGATTTTTTCAAAACAGATTCTTCAAATGTAAGAACAGAAAAGAGTTGTGCTAAAAATTATCTTGAAAATAAAATGAAAGGTGAAGAATTTTTACATACAGAAAATGGTAATTCATTTATTATTTTATTTGTTAAATACATTTCATATAGAAATGTTTTAGTTAAATATTATACATGATAAGTAGATCTAATTTATTTAATAAGAGTGATACTACACCAGGGTGAAGTAAACAACAAACCTACCGGGGAGACTGTTACCGGTGTGCTTCTGTTTTTTCCAAGAAGCATACCATTAACGGGCTCCTGGTACATTTGTTGTTTAATTTATTTAATATTTTATTTTCTATTATAACTAGAATTTTATTTAAATATTTTGAAACTATAAATTTTTTTATTAACCACAGTCTATGGGGTCCAGCTTAAAAGGTTTTTTTTTTTTATGTTTGTTAATAGTTTTTGTTACTTTTTTCCAAAATAAGTGTTTGTTTAGTTAATAAAAAAATGAATGAGTTTTTAAAATTTTTTGTTGTCTGTTGTATTGAACTTTATTGCAGAAGATGTTCCCCTTGAGAATAAAATTGATCTGTTTGAGCGATTTGCTTGGACGAACAGGATAACTCTGCCATTTCATTTTCGATGGGCCACTTTCTATATTAATACAATATGGAATAATTTAAGAATAATTATCAAATTTTTTGATTTAATGTTCTGAGATAATTTGTTAATATTTTTTGTTATATTNAACTTCATCTTTATTTTTATTTGAAAGTAAAAATGTTTTTCATAAAGTGTTTGTTTTATAAATTTAGTATTCTATTTGTTAAATCATTTATGTTTCTTTTTATTTTTATAGATTTATTATTTTATTGTATTTTAATATATACTATCCTATGCTACTTATTTTATAATATCATAATTCACATTACATTTATGTTTATTTAAATATTATCTTATTCTTCTATCATCAATTCAAATTATTGTTTATGAATAACATAATCAGTTGTTTATAATATCTGCAATTTGTTGACAGATAAATTGTTTATTTATTTATTTATGTAGACAATTTAATAAATAATTATAAAGGTTGGAATATTTAAAATTACAGTATTTACTCTTTTATAAAATTTTTAAATTGCTATCTCAAAAACTTAATTTTTTTTTACAAAAAAAAAAGTAGTTCTTGTTAAAGTACTGTTTACAAATATAAAATTGTAGGATCCCTCAATATACTGTAGCTGAATAAATCTGTTATATAACATTAGGTAGACTGATACTAGTTGGTTTTTCTTTTGAAGAACTGATAATCTCTGTTCATGTACATGGAGGTTTTTTAATCTTTTTCCATAAAATTATGACTGTGTATGTAGGAAGAGACAGGAGACTAGCCTTAAGTTTCTTTTCTGATGCACCTTTTCTCTTTATTGCCTCTTGTTTCACTTGGATTCTCAAACTGTCATAGAATGTTCATGAGGACCTTCTGAGATTGGCCCTTTTTTTATGGCAGTTTTCTCTAACTTAAATCTTTGATTATATTTTTTTCAAAGCACTTGATAGTTTTGATTGTCATCATATTTGTTTTTGTAGTTCCATCTGACAGAAAATAATTCTCATTTTTCTCTAAAAAGCTTTTTCTTTCATTTAATTCTTGACACTGTGTATGTCTGTTCTAGTCAATAAATTTCCACTTTTCTGGCCTGCACAAATTCCTTGGTTTTATGATGTGGCTGTCTCACAAAATAAAATAAATTGTAGCATTTATTGAATCAGTTGACTTAAATTGAGCATCACTTCTTCTGGCATTGATTATTAATTAATTTAATTGTTCAAAATCATAAATACACAATATTAGTAATTACAGAAAAAGATGATAATGATGCTACTGAGGACAAAGAACACAGATATGTAATTGGTTATCTTGTAATTGTTACAGTACTAAGCTGCACTTTTCTGTAGAATAGTAATTACTAAAAAAAGTTTCATTATTGCATTAGTTGTAAGCAAGTTTTGTATTTCTTTAATTATTAATCTTTTCTAGACACTATAAGTTTTCATTTTTAATTTTAATCTTTTACTAAATGTAGATTTCCAACTTAGTCAGAAACTTCATCTTTATTTTTATTTGAAAGTAAAAATGTTTTTCATAAAGTGTTTGTTTTATAAATTTAGTATTCTATTTGTTAAATCATTTATGTTTCTTTTTATTTTTATAGATTTATTATTTTATTGTATTTTAATATATACTATCCTATGCTACTTATTTTATAATATCATAATTCACATTACATTTATGTTTATTTAAATATTATCTTATTCTTCTATCATCAATTCAAATTATTGTTTATGAATAACATAATCAGTTGTTTATAATATCTGCAATTTGTTGACAGATAAATTGTTTATTTATTTATTTATGAAATGAAATAAAATTAAACGTAGTGAGTGATATATAATATTAAGATTAAATACTTAAATATTTAAATTATGTATAACAGTTATTTTTATCAATTACATTCTGCTGTTATTTAAATTAATTTAGTTATTAACTATTTCAGTATTGTAAGCATCTTAAGATAATTTTTTAAAAGTTCATATTCTTTATTAAGCTTTTTTGATGTTGTATAAGCATGTAAAAAACCAAACTCAAGTTATATTACTAATTAAATAATCAAGCTGGGTTTATTACAAAGCTATATTTTGGGTAATTAATTAATTAAGCAAATATTTTAAATATAATTTAAAACGTTTGCTTAAAATAATGTTTAAATATATCGATGCAAATTTTATTCTTTCCTACTTGAATATTTATTTAAGTTTTTATAATTAGAATAAAACGTTTAGAATTAAACTTAAACTTGCTGAATTTGTAAGCAGGAACTTAACTACAATACAGAAAAATTACACCTTTTTCATGTTAGGATTAAGGTCTTTTATCATTAACTTTTAACGATAAGCCAATGATAATTCGTCCGTTCACAGCGCAGGATAGGATGACAAATTATACATACCACCAAGCAATGTCTTCAAAATACTTTATTAAAGTTATCATTAAGGACATAAATCACAAAGCAGTTTACTGCACACAACAAGTAAGAAAACGAAACCGAAACTAACTAAAACGGGGATATCAATCAAATCACGGGACAAGATCTCGCACTCTTCTCGCGAGCACTATCGTTGAGTAGTTAATAAACATGGATGTCTAACATTTCACACTTTCCAGCAATAACTGTTTAATAAAGTAAGTTTATTAAAGCTGCTGTTTATTTACTGCTGGAAAGTGTGAGGAAGGTGTGATTTTTCTGTTATTTAGAATTATTCATTAATAATTTAGAAAATTTTAAATATTATAAAGAAATTTGACTTAATTTTTTCTTAACATTTATATATTTCTAATATTTATAATTTTCAGACAAAAAATCACTAGAACTCATTAATTCCAAATTAGAAATAGCTGTTCGAAGTCTTACTTTAATTCTTTGTAAGCAAGATAATGAAATAGCAAAAGCAAATGTGGCAATGTTTAATTGTCATACAACATTCCAAGATAACAACTTTTCAGCAGAAGGAAAACTTGGAAGTATTTCAGTTGTTGATATGACAACTTATGGAAAATACTATCCAGAACGATTTATAACATCTGGAAAAGAAGCTCTACATTTTGATATATTTAAGTATGTATATTTAAACTTCAAATATAGTTAAAATATTTAATAAATCTAAATTTTATTTTTGTTTTTAGATATGGAGATGATGATCCTGACATGAAAAGAAAGTTTGATGTCAGTGTTAAATGTCGCATGTCTTCTGTTAGATACGTGCATACGCATCGTTTTTATACACTGTTGTTAAACTTTATACAAAATTTTAATGAAATTCAAGATTTTATGTCTCAGATTCGTTCATCAAAGTCTGTTTTGACGGTTAGTAAAAAGTTTATTTTAGTTGCAGTAAATAAAATAAAATGTATAAAATTTTTACATTTGTATACATACAAATTTTTTCAGTATGTCACACACAAAAAGTTTATTAACAAACATAAAAGAAGAAAATATATTTTAATTACAAAGAATTCAAGTAGAAAAAGATGGAAATACTTTTTCACTAAATATCTACCTGTTTTCATTACAAAAAAATAGGCATTACAACATATAATCTGATGGTTATAATTAATGATTGGATAATTAATCAGAATCAGTACTGAGAATATTTTTTAGTAATTAGAATTTGTATCAGAATTGAGAAAAATTCATCATGATTTTCAATTTTTAAAATGATTTTTCTAACACTTAAAATTAATTTTTTGTTTTGTGTTATAATTAAAATTGTTTAAATTGTGATCGTTAACAATCAAATAATAATATATTATAAAATTTCATATTGATCACTAAAAGTAAAGAATAAAATTATTTTCTATTGCCAGTCGAAATATTGCACAATATTAAGCATTTTCATTCTGTGCAACATGTGACATGAAAATCTGAAACTGAGATAAGAAATAACAGTAACAGACTATCAGAACTGACAAATAATTAGTGTTTCCAAGTTTGGCATTTTTTAAAGGTTTTTTGGCACATAAATTTTTTAATGCCAAACTCTGTTTGGGATTAGATTTGGCGTGAATTACACTCTCCATTAACATACTGTCAGCAGTAATGACAATTAGAAGCAGACTACAGTTTTTCCCAAACTCCTGTCAAAATTTTACTGTTGAAATACTTTTACTGTGCTTAGCTTATTTAATATTCTCATGTAACTTTTGATGTTGAATTTACATCAAAAACTCTCAATCCACAAGTCAACAAGAAATTGGTAATGTAATTGCTGTTAAGTTTTAAATGAGGTTGTTTTTACAATAAATCTGTTTTTACAATAAATTCTGTTAAGTGTCATTGATTTCTAATGTAACAGTTCAAATTATAGCATTTCAGGTAAAAAATGGCAACAGAATAAATTTGTATCATTTGGCACATTTATGCAAGCTGTTTAACATGTTTGAATGAAAACAAATTTTACAAGTAATTAAGTGGCTAGCACTGTTCTGATTTCAGCTGTCAGATTACATCCAGTTGTAATTTTGAAGAGTTAAAATTGAAACTTCTTTAATGGAATTGGACAGCAATCAAATGTTTGATTGCTGTCTTTCTTTCATTAATCTTGAGAACTTGGACAGCAATCAAATGTTTGATTGCTGTCCAAGTTCTCAAGATTAATGAAAGAAAGAGACAGACAAACATACAGATAGACAGTCATACATATACAGTCGACCCCCTATAACACTGTTGATTATTCCATTTTATATGAATTCCATGTTGTACAAGTCACTTAGATTTTACAAATACGTGAGCCGTTCACAGCCTGGCACATGTATTTGTAAAATCTAAGTGACTCGTACAACATGGAATTCATATAAAATGGAATAATCAACAGTGTTATAGGGGGGTCGACTGTATTTATCCTCAAATAAACTTTGGTTTGATTGTTGTCCAAAATTTATTTGAGGATGAATATATGTATGACTGCCTATCTGTATGTTTGTCTGTCTCTTTCTTTCATTAATCTTGAGAACAGAGTTAGATAGATGAAGACTAGACCAGATATGGAAACCATAGTGGTAGGAGGCCCCAATTAACTATATACAAACTTCTGATGCAAACCAGAAGTCAAACGATTTCAATTGAAAAATTGGCCCACCAGTGGCCAAGCAGTTCTGTTCTCTGAACAGAACAGAATCGCTTAGAGTTTGGTTGTGGGTTCACACCTCGCCAGGACAGGCTGGCCAAGTAAAGTTTTCTCTGTTTTCTCTACATCTGTAACGCCTGAATAGGGGCCAGTTACCTTTTTAAAAAAAAGACCTCCTGGAAGGCATTCACCTAGGCAGATCACCCAAGTGTTGCATTGCCATAACTTAACTAAACAAACAAATCAATTCAAAAATTTTTCCCTGAAAGGTGTTAGATAGATGACTGGCACGACTCTATTGTTAAAAGAAAAGCATGACGTACAGGGGAAAGCCACTACTAATTTGAAGTGGAGAGCATATATTTTAAGTTAAATAAATTAAAAATATGATTAAAAATTGCAGCCTGGCATTATGGTGATGTCATGCCAGATTGCAATAAATAATTGCTCGTTATATTAGAAATTCTAATTTTAAATTAAATAGAATTTTTTTATTTGGCATATTTGACATTATACTGTATATATATATATATATAATTCAGAAAATATATTTGTTGTTGTTATAAAGTTTTAATAATTTTTTAAATTAATCTAAATTTTAAAATTCAAATATTAATTTACAAACTTTGTTTTGTTCTAGACTGATTCAAATTCTAAAATATTTCGAATGAAACTTGATATTGCAGCAGGTTCCCCAGTGATCATAATTCCCAAAAGTTACTCAACACCAAATATTTTAGTTGCAGATTTGGGAAATTTAACAGCTCAAAATACATTTCTTTTTGCTGGTAGTCCTGGAACCATAAGTATAGTATTAGGAAACTTGTATACATACAAATTTTTTCAGTATGTCACACACAAAAAGTTTATTAACAAACATAAAAGAAGAAAATATATTTTAATTACAAAGAATTCAAGTAGAAAAAGATGGAAATACTTTTTCACTAAATATCTACCTGTTTTCATTACAAAAAAATAGGCATTACAACATATAATCTGATGGTTATAATTAATGATTGGATAATTAATCAGAATCAGTACTGAGAATATTTTTTAGTAATTAGAATTTGTATCAGAATTGAGAAAAATTCATCATGATTTTCAATTTTTAAAATGATTTTTCTAACACTTAAAATTAATTTTTTGTTTTGTGTTATAATTAAAATTGTTTAAATTGTGATCGTTAACAATCAAATAATAATATATTATAAAATTTCATATTGATCACTAAAAGTAAAGAATAAAATTATTTTCTATTGCCAGTCGAAATATTGCACAATATTAAGCATTTTCATTCTGTGCAACATGTGACATGAAAATCTGAAACTGAGATAAGAAATAACAGTAACAGACTATCAGAACTGACAAATAATTAGTGTTTCCAAGTTTGGCATTTTTTAAAGGTTTTTTGGCACATAAATTTTTTAATGCCAAACTCTGTTTGGGATTAGATTTGGCGTGAATTACNATTAATCAAAGATATTGCAAAGTTTCAATTTTTAATATCATTGATTCAATTTTTTGCAATAGTGAAACATATTAGGTTGTTGCAAATGAAATCGCCGATTTTTACTTCTGACTTTGAATGTTTATTAATTTAATTTAAAACTTGCATATTCAATCAAATTGTCTTCACAAACATTAATACACTTTTCCCAATTCAATAGAAATGCCAATTTGGTAGAAATTATGAGAATGAGAAGCCAAAAAGTCATTAAAGGTACTTTTTATTGCATTCTCTTCCTTGAAGACTTTCCTTGCCAAAAACTGTCTAAACGTATAAAAAATGTGATTTTTCCAGTATTTCAAGCGTGTGTAAATGTAGTGCATACACTTGTTTCAGTGCTAAAATAGCCAAAGGAAATCAATTTAAGATGATTTAACATAAAAACACTCTTTAACTATAAAGGATAAAGACAACATTGCAGAAATTGATAGAAAAAAGGGAGTTTTATTTTGTTAGAGAATATTCAAAATGACCACTTTCAGCTGCAGTGTGAATGTCTTATGGATGATCTTGGTGTCATTGTTTTACAGTCTCAGGTATGCATCTTTCCAGTCACCAATATGTGATTCTGATGGATATGCATCATACAATAGTGCTTTTAGGGGCTTTACAGGAAAACTCCTGAAGGATCAAGTCTGAGGAATTTGGTAGCCATAGAACAGGGCCACATTGTCCTATCCAGTGGTTGTCAAACCTCATGAGCCACTGATGCACATCTATTAAGAATTGAGGTGGTGTGCCATTATGTTGGTACCAAATTTACTATAGTTATGCCAATGGTAAATTATCAAGCCATTTGTCCATCGTCATTTTTAGGATGTCAGATATTAGTTATTATTCAGGATGCCATCAATGAATACAGGACCAAGAAGCTGCTCACTCCAAATTCCACATCAGATGTTTAGGGTAAAACACACTTGGTGTCATATATGTCACATGCATCATGAAGCATGCTATGCCCAGTGGTGCACTTTGTGACAGTTATACACTCCATTCCAGGAAAACAATGCCTTGACAATCTGTAAAATGTGCTGAATAAGTTGTAATTGTCATTTTGTAAATTCAACATTATGTTGCTTCACTCAAATTATTGTGCAGCATCCTATGCATGTTGTTCTGGTTGCAGATAATAACAAAATGGGTGCATTTTGTAGCAATGTAATATCCATAAATTTGCATCCACTGAAATCCACAACTTAATCTAACATAACCAGTGTTGAAAAATCTCTTTTATCCCTGGGTAGATGTTAAGTGGACCTCTTGTATATATTTCTCAAGAAGTCAAATTTTAAAAATCTCCATTTCTTGCATTTTCATCAAATTTGCTTTATTTACAACAAGGAAATGTAATCTCAACCTTAGATAAAACATTTTGTTAAAAAATAAAAAATGTTTTATGAAAATAAATTAGTTTTCAAAAATCTAATAGTTTCCTTACATTAAGATAAATTGTAAGATATAGATTGCTCTTGGAATTTTGTAAGAAGTTTGATGATTAAGAAAAAATTGTTGACATGAAATATATTGTGAAAAAATCATGGATTTATATATACACACTATATTTAACAAAATGCATTTTTTTTATGATGATTAGTAAGTCAGAATATATAAGTTAATTCCCGTTGTTGTTTCAACTTCATACTTCTATAAGTGTGATATTTTGCCTACTTTCAGTTTTTATATTACAATATTTTCAGAAACATGACTTTTGCATCTTTGCAAGATATTTATAAAAAAAAATTAGTTACATTTACTACTAAATATATATAAAAGTTATAGTATGTGTTTAAGCATTTCAAAGACTATGTACTGTACCTTGGATGTTTTTTAAATTATAAATTCATTTTGAAATGTAAAACTATCTAAATACAGTAGAGCGTCATTTATCCGAAGGTCGGTTATCCGAAGGAATTCCAGTCGACAAATTTAAATTTTTGCCAGTGCTGTGGCACTGTAATCTTTGGCTATGTCTTCGGCTACTCAAATATTTTATGTTTTTGATACTAAATTAACTTCTGAAGTATAATTTTTTATTGTTTTTATATTTTTCAATATATTTATTTTGTTTGTACAAAATAAAGAAATAATTTTTAACAATACGATAGTCTTCATTAGGCTTAACATTGACGAAAATTCAACGCAAAGCAACACGCAACGGAGAAAAATTTCAACACGGGATAAATTAATATATTTTTTCGTACATAATTGGTTATCCGAAAAATAAGTTATCTGAACAACCCCAGTCCCCAATTAATTCGGATAAACAACGCTCTACAGTATAATATTATCTAAAATTGTCAATTATCAAAATGTAACCTAATTTATACATAAATAAAACATCATGAAACCTGATAAATTTGTAGAGCCAAAAACAACCACTGGATTACATTGGACTACTTTTTGGCAGTTATGTTTAATTGATTACTAAATAATTTGTCACTAGAGGGAGGCATTAGGTGCCATTTCTTATTAAATTTAATAATTATAATTAAATTAATTTTTATTAAATAATTTAGAATATTTTGGAAGAAAAGAATTGACCTGGAGCAGGATTTGAATCCGCAACTCCTGCTTACCATATGGATGTGCTTCCAGTTTTGCCATCCGAGCCTCTGATCCAATCTCCCCTTCCAGTTCCAGATGTATATAAATATGATATAACCATCTTCAGTTAATAAGAGATGGCACCTAACGCCTCCCTATAGTGACAAATTATTTAGTAATTAATTAAATATAATTGCTGAAAAGTAGCCTGATGTAATTTGGTGGTTTGGCTTTTTAACTCAATATTTCATAAATTATGAAAACTTGAATAATAAGATAAATTTGTTACATCTGATAAAATATTTATAAATAATTAGTTTTTATTTTAAGCAGTTTATCAATAATGTATTTAAACATTTTTTTTATTATTTAATGAATAGCTCTACTCAAGCTTTGAGAAAAGAAAATAATACAATATTCAATAAAAAAGGACAAAAATTAGGTAGGTTTTCACATATTCGAAGAGGTAGATGTAATTTTGATTAATGAGTACAGTATGGTCTTGTTTTACACATGGATTTCTTGTAGGTACTACATAGAACATATTTATGTAGAATTTTGTCTTCTCATATAGTCCCAGATGATTGCCTAGATATTTATGCAAATATTTACAATTAACTGAAAAATGTTAAGTAAAATGTTTTAAACATGCTTTATGTTTTTATTACACATACCCACAATGACCAAATTGTTGCTCTTCTAGATCCTTATTGCAGTTTCCATATATCAGACCCCTATTCTTAACATACACATACATACAAATGTACAATATATAGATTATATATAAAATATTGTTGCAATAAATATATGATGTGGCTTGCTCATATTTCTGATATGCAGTATATGGTTTGGCCACTCCTGGTATATACTGAATTTCATGATAAAAATAGTCAGTATGTGCATTAATAGTCAGAATTATCCCTGTACATAAAAGGTTAACCAAACCATTCATTCAGGAAAACACAAATGTATGTGTATTAATCCCACATAAAACAAGACCCTATTGTAATAATGTTTGTGAATTAAGTCTTTAATTTTACTTATTAAGTTTATAAATGAGATATCAGATTTATCATTAATTTAAAAATTTGATTATTTATTTATAGTTTAAAGATAATATATGAAGAAATGATAACAATATCAATCTTTAAAGATTGATATTGTTATCATTTCTTCATATATTATCTTTAAACTATAAATAAATAATCAAATTTTTAAATTAATGATAAATCTGATATCTCATTTATAAACTTAATAAGTAAAATTAAAGACTTAATTCACAAACATTATTACAATAGGGTCTTGTTTTATGTGGGATTAATACACATACATTTGTGTTTTCCTGAATGAATGGTTTGGTTAACCTTTTATGTACAGGGATAATTCTGACTATTAATGCACATACTGACTATTTTTATCATGAAATTCAGTATATACCAGGAGTGGCCAAACCATATACTGCATATCAGAAATATGAGCAAGCCACATCATATATTTATTGCAACAATATTTTATATATAATCTATATATTGTACATTTGTATGTATGTGTATGTTAAGAATAGGGGTCTGATATATGGAAACTGCAATAAGGATCTAGAAGAGCAACAATTTGGTCATTGTGGGTATGTGTAATAAAAACATAAAGCATGTTTAAAACATTTTACTTAACATTTTTCAGTTAATTGTAAATATTTGCATAAATATCTAGGCAATCATCTGGGACTATATGAGAAGACAAAATTCTACATAAATATGTTCTATGTAGTACCTACAAGAAATCCATGTGTAAAACAAGACCATACTGTACTCATTAATCAAAATTACATCTACCTCTTCGAATATGTGAAAACCTACCTAATTTTTGTCCTTTTTTATTGAATATTGTATTATTTTCTTTTCTCAAAGCTTGAGTAGAGCTATTCATTAAATAATAAAAAAAATGTTTAAATACATTATTGATAAACTGCTTAAAATAAAAACTAATTATTTATAAATATTTTATCAGATGTAACAAATTTATCTTATTATTCAAGTTTTCATAATTTATGAAATATTGAGTTAAAAAGCCAAACCACCAAATTACATCAGGCTACTTTTCAGCAATTATATTTAATTAATTACTAAATAATTTGTCACTATAGGGAGGCGTTAGGTGCCATCTCTTATTAACTGAAGATGGTTATATCATATTTATATACATCTGGAACTGGAAGGGGAGATTGGATCAGAGGCTCGGATGGCAAAACTGGAAGCACATCCATATGGTAAGCAGGAGTTGCGGATTCAAATCCTGCTCCAGGTCAATTCTTTTCTTCCAAAATATTCTAAATTATTTAATAAAAATTAATTTAATTATAATTATTAAATTTAATAAGAAATGGCACCTAATGCCTCCCTCTAGTGACAAATTATTTAGTAATCAATTAAACATAACTGCCAAAAAGTAGTCCAATGTAATCCAGTGGTTGTTTTTGGCTCTACAAATTTATCAGGTTTCATGATGTTTTATTTATGTATAAATTAGGTTACATTTTGATAATTGACAATTTTAGATAATATTATACTGTAGAGCGTTGTTTATCCGAATTAATTGGGGACTGNTTAATTAATTATGTTTAACAGATTACTATCCAGAACAAAAATGTTTACTTGATGTGATTTATCTGGAATTATCTGACATTAATTTGTATTCTGCTGTATGTATTAAAAACATGGAGGAAGAAAAGAGACCAACTGATTTAGCATTTCCTTCTTTCATTATTAGAAAAGAGGTATAATTTAAAGATTTTAGTTTTATTCAAAGTTAATAGAGTATTTAATTCTAAATGTAATTATTAGAACATAATTATTTGCTAAGATACAATTTTAACTCTTACCAGTGACTTATTTTTCTTGTTCAGGGTCAGTTACACGGTTTGCAAAAATTAATACAACTAATCAATAAAATATTAACAAATTTATTTTATTTATTTATTTATGTTAAACTAGTAATATTCATTGATTCATTATCAGTCTATTCTGAAGTGATAACAACTGAGCCTATTCCCATATTAATTTCTGTAAACAATGTATCTGTACTAAAAATAGTTTTTCTCATAGTTGTATATTATTTAAGTCTATTTGTGCTGCAATTTGAAAAAATTGTAGACCTATAAATTACCACTGCCTTCCATTTGTCCATCCATCTATCTGCCTGTCTTTCTTTAATCTCGAGAATAGAGTTAGATATATGAAAGCTGAGACCAGATACGGAAACCTTAGGGGCAAGAGGCCCTGATTAACTCTATACAAACTTCTTGTGCAAACTGGAAATGAGGTTATTTCAATTCAAAAATTTTATTCTGAAAGATGTTAGATGACTAGCACAACTCTATTGTTAAAGGAAAAGTATAATGTACAGGGGCATGCCATTACAAATTTGAGGTGGAGAGCATATATTTTAAATTAAATAAATTAAAAATATGATTAAAAATTGCAGCCCGACAATGTAACTATAAATAATTGCTTATTAATATTTTATTCANGAGAAAAATTTCAACACGGGATAAATTAATATATTTTTTCGTACATAATTGGTTATCCGAAAAATAAGTTATCTGAACAACCCCAGTCCCCAATTAATTCGGATAAACAACGCTCTACAGTATAATATTATCTAAAATTGTCAATTATCAAAATGTAACCTAATTTATACATAAATAAAACATCATGAAACCTGATAAATTTGTAGAGCCAAAAACAACCACTGGATTACATTGGACTACTTTTTGGCAGTTATGTTTAATTGATTACTAAATAATTTGTCACTAGAGGGAGGCATTAGGTGCCATTTCTTATTAAATTTAATAATTATAATTAAATTAATATTTATTAAATAATNGTTAATCAGGGCCTCTTGCCCCTAAGGTTTCCGTATCTGGTCTCAGCTTTCATATATCTAACTCTATTCTCGAGATTAAAGAAAGACAGGCAGATAGATGGATGGATAAATGGAAGGCAGTGGTAATTTATAGGTCTACAATTTTTTCAAATTGCAGCACAAATAGACTTAAATAATATACAACTATGAGAAAAACTATTTTTAGTACAGATACATTGTTTACAGAAATTAATATGGGAATAGGCTCAGTTGTTATCACTTCAGAATAGACTGATAATGAATCAATGAATATTACTAGTTTAACATAAATAAATAAATAAAATAAATTTGTTAATATTTTATTGATTAGTTGTATTAATTTTTGCAAACCGTGTAACTGACCCTGAACAAGAAAAATAAGTCACTGGTAAGAGTTAAAATTGTATCTTAGCAAATAATTATGTTCTAATAATTACATTTAGAATTAAATACTCTATTAACTTTGAATAAAACTAAAATCTTTAAATTATACCTCTTTTCTAATAATGAAAGAAGGAAATGCTAAATCAGTTGGTCTCTTTTCTTCCTCCATGTTTTTAATACATACAGCAGAATACAAATTAATGTCAGATAATTCCAGATAAATCACATCAAGTAAACATTTTTGTTCTGGATAGTAATCTGTTAAACATAATTAATTAAGTAAAATAATTTAAATAAGTTAATAAAAATAAATTATAAATACTTAGTTTTTATTTTTAAACATTGTAATGATAGTAATGTTCTGCGCATAAAGTAAAAATATAATTTATAAATATTATATATTGAAAATAAATATCAAATTGTGATATTATTCACATTATTCATTGCTAAAAAGATTTTGATATATTCTCCAAAAATCTGTAAATTTACAAATTTTTTGATTTTATATTTTAAAAAATTTCAAATATATAGTTTATTTTAGTTAAAATTTCAAATATATAGAAATATAATTTCAAATATTGTATAGTTTGAATGCTATATCATTCAAACTATACAATTATAGTTTGAATGATATAGCAAACAAAATTTCTAAGATAATATTCTTAAAAATTTAATAAGTAACATTTTAATTCACAGTGTATCTGTGAATTAAAATGACTATATTTATTTATAGTTTAAAGATAATATATGAAGAAATGATAACAATATCAATCTTTAAAGATTGATATTGTTATCATTTCTTCATATATTATCTTTAAACTATAAATAAATATAGTCATTTTAATTCACAGATACACTGTGAATTAAAATGTTACTTATTAAATTTTTAAGAATATTATCTTAGAAATTTTGTTTGCTATATCATTCAAACTATAATTGTATAGTTTGAATGATATAGCATTCAAACTATACAATATTTGAAATTATATTTCTATATATTTGAAATTTTAACTAAAATAAACTATATATTTGAAATTTTTTAAAATATAAAATCAAAAAATTTGTAAATTTACAGATTTTTGGAGAATATATCAAAATCTTTTTAGCAATGAATAATGTGAATAATATCACAATTTGATATTTATTTTCAATATATAATATTTATAAATTATATTTTTACTTTATGCGCAGAACATTACTATCATTACAATGTTTAAAAATAAAAACTAAGTATTTATAATTTATTTTTATTAACTTATTTAAATTATTTTACTTAATTAATTATGTTTAACAGATTACTATCCAGAACAAAAATGTTTACTTGATGTGATTTATCTGGAATTATCTGACATTAATTTGTATTCTGCTGTATGTATTAAAAACATGGAGGAAGAAAAGAGACCAACTGATTTAGCATTTCCTTCTTTCATTATTAGAAAAGAGGTATAATTTAAAGATTTTAGTTTTATTCAAAGTTAATAGAGTATTTAATTCTAAATGTAATTATTAGAACATAATTATTTGCTAAGATACAATTTTAACTCTTACCAGTGACTTATTTTTCTTGTTCAGGGTCAGTTACACGGTTTGCAAAAATTAATACAACTAATCAATAAAATATTAACAAATTTATTTTATTTATTTATTTATGTTAAACTAGTAATATTCATTGATTCATTATCAGTCTATTCTGAAGTGATAACAACTGAGCCTATTCCCATATTAATTTCTGTAAACAATGTATCTGTACTAAAAATAGTTTTTCTCATAGTTGTATATTATTTAAGTCTATTTGTGCTGCAATTTGAAAAAATTGTAGACCTATAAATTACCACTGCCTTCCATTTGTCCATCCATCTATCTGCCTGTCTTTCTTTAATCTCGAGAATAGAGTTAGATATATGAAAGCTGAGACCAGATACGGAAACCTTAGGGGCAAGAGGCCCTGATTAACTCTATACAAACTTCTTGTGCAAACTGGAAATGAGGTTATTTCAATTCAAAAATTTTATTCTGAAAGATGTTAGATGACTAGCACAACTCTATTGTTAAAGGAAAAGTATAATGTACAGGGGCATGCCATTACAAATTTGAGGTGGAGAGCATATATTTTAAATTAAATAAATTAAAAATATGATTAAAAATTGCAGCCCGACAATGTAACTATAAATAATTGCTTATTAATATTTTATTCACATTCTCCACTTATTATATCCACTTCTCATATTCTCAATTGTATATCATGTATGAGAAGCCATGGATTAGAGGGTAAAGCTCTAAACCCTTTTGATTGGCATCAGGTTGGTAAAACCCACTCACTTTGTCACTATATGGCTAGGAGGGCGATATGTCAAGTGGGGGAGGTCACAGGTAAGTCAATAAGGTGTTCGGTTCTTCAGAATAAAGACAGGTTAACAAATAACAAACAATTTAATAAAGTAAAAATTACATTACAGATACTAAACATATTTTCATTGCTTGCCATGTCCAATTGCCAGGAACAACTATTCTTCACTGCAGAGATGACCTTTCACTGCAGAGTGTAGCCTACAAAGAAAGGTCATCTCTGCAGTGAAGAATAGTTGTTCCTGGTTATTGGACATGGCAAGCAATGAATATATGTTTAGTATCTGTAATGTAATTTTTACTTTATTAAATTGTAATTTCTGCCAGCCCTTTTTTACAAAAAAATAACAAACAATTTAATATAAAAACAAAGCAGATTACAATATACAGCTAAGTACTTATATGTTAATAGACTGAGAGAGTTTACAATTCTGTAAGTAAAATACCTTTGTTGGACTGATGTCTTTAGATCCAGGTTATGTGATGGTTGGAAGATGATCATGGATCTTCATTGGAGGTAGCTTCAGTGGAAGATGAATCTGGTGATGTAGGTATTGGCAGGTGGAACATTGTGTGTTGTTCCTTGAAATATGTCTGCCCCGACACTTAAGTTTGAGCCTTTTTTATCCTTGAGTGTGCAACTTTTGCTCAGGTGATTAACTTTGTTCTGGTTCTAAGTTCATGATCCATTCCTGGTATGGCCAAGGCATCCTGACTCTTTTTACCATATAAGGCAACAAATTTGAAGTTCCTTGATGTCATCAACGAGGTGTTGTGACTCTTCTTACCTCATAATTTAATTGATTTTGATGTTTCTCCCCCATTAATAACCCATATGTTTAGCTTTTCTTGACACTTATTCAAAACATCATTAAAAATTGTCGTACTGTTATTTTGTACGGTTATTTGATCGTCTTTATCTCGGCTCTGAGGTCAACAGAAATGTCAGGTGGTGGGAAAAGAAAGTGGGTTTTATCCACTTTTGCATTAACTGCATATTAGTTTAACTAATGTAATCTAATTGCTAAATTGCCCCCTCTTTTTTGATTGGGATTTTGTTATTTTTTTTAATGGAAATATATTCTTCATCCAGATAATTATATATGAAATAAACAAAACTGTCCTCCTGTTAAAATTCTTTTATGATGGTGAAATTAGCACTTTAATGATAATAGAATTATCACTTTAGCAATAATAAAAATAAGTACTTTCCACATTGCATTGACATTATCTTTAGGTAAAAATAAGGTAAAGTGGTAATTTTATCATATAATTTCAACTGCTAATTTCATTTGTAGTTAAAGAATTTTAACACCAAAGACAGTTTTGTTTATTTCATATATTTTTATTGAATCATACTTGACTGTTTCATGATTATAATTCCACAGCAAATAATAATAATCTAATTATGCATTCAGTTCATTTTGTACAAAAGTGATATAAACTAAGTTAGCATATTTCCAACTATTATTATTAGTCTGATTTGAAGAGAAACCAATGCACATTCCATTTGATGATAATATAAAATCACTAGTATAAAAAATTTAAATCAGATCAACAATACCAATAATTTTTCAATTATTTCTTGTCATCTTTTGAAAGATAGAATGATAATTCTTATGATATGCAAACTACTAGACCAATTACCGGTAAATGTAAACACCACTGTTAAAACTTTACTTCTGGTAAGAAATAATACACAAATGAACAAATATTTACAATTTTAATCAAGATCTGCCTCTTGTTTGTCTATCATTCTCATGATAGACAAACAAGTGAATCTAATTTTGTAATTATTTTATACAAATGTCTAGCAGAATGTTTCCCAAACTTTTTAGACTACTTACTGTACCCTATTAGTGCACATATATACACTTTTTTTTTTTTCAAAATGAATTTTTGTACACCTTATCTTTCAACACCTCAACCATTCCTTTGCAACATCCCCTTGAGTCTTCTATTCTAAAGGGGACAGTAGCACTCATTCTGTGAATAGTTGGTCTAGTAAAATATTAATAAAATGATTTTGTTTTTAACTTATAAAAACAAAATCACTTATTTTTAAAGTTTTTATGTTTAAATTATTTTTATTTAGGGTCCTCAATTACTTGAAGAAAAGTTTATGTTGAAAGTGCAAGTTGAAAGAAATCTACATTCTTTTATTAGTCATTCTGGTATGTGAATTTATTTGAAATTAATATTTATATGGATTTAAAAATCAAATATTGTATTTTATTAATGACTGGCTATTTTTTAAATTTATTGTTAGTCTTTTATATGTAATGAGCAAATTTTGTATAGTATATATAATAACTGAGACTTTCTGACAAGACTATGTCTTGTTTATAAAACCACTGTTATGGGGTACTGTTATGGATTCACTCCTTAGGGGTAAAGGGGGACATATCAGGAGTTGCAGTTTGGCACAGAGTATTAGGTGCCCAAATCATGCACGCACAAAAATTTAGACTTGTAGGTACTCAGGGGACAAGAACTGAGTCAAAATAAAATACAAAATGGTGACATCTTTTTAAAAACAGGCAAGAGTGTGAGATTTGCACATGTGTATATAGTTGGAAATTGGAAATGTGAACATTGCAAAATTCGAATTTTGACAAATGAATCTTTGAAAAAGCCCATTTACCTCTGGTTGCAACCTGCTGACCTTGACCCAAGATATCTCGTTTCAGAATCAGAACGTTTTTGTACTTGTTTTAATTTTATATTAAAAGTAACTTTCGAAATATAATTTTTTTTTTACATTTATTAATTTATTTATTTTGCTTGTGCAAAATAAAAAAAATAATTCCGGATGATATAATAGCCACAATTATTTTTTTCAAAAACGGGAATTTTTTAGTTAAGCATCAGCAAAAATTCAACCTGGGACGACATGCAACAGAGAGAAATTTTGACATTGGATAGGTTAATTTCACCAAAAATGCACCATGGCCGGCAAAGATTGAACAATCATGTTGAACCCTGAGTCTCTGAGACATAGTGTTGTCCCAAAAATCGGCCTTGCCGTTTTACTTGTTTATAATTAAATTTTTATTAAATGTATTAAAGTTTTAAATTGAAAATGTTTAATAAATTTCTTTATTTTAACAATATAGCAATATTTATATTTCATTTGATGCAATATACATTATCAAAGCCAAATGACTGCTGGATTAGATTGGGCTATATTATTGCTACTATTAATAATTAATTTCTAAGTAATTTGGCATAGTGGTGTATGTTAGACACCATCTCTTATTAAATTTAAAATTTATCAATTTAGAAGGTTCTGAAGAAAAGAATTGGCCCAGACAGGACTGTCAATGCATCTACTGCTTACCATGCTGATGCACTGCCAGTTATGCTACCCGGACTTCCATTCGATCTTTGCTTCCAGAACTATTAATTTAGATATAACAATACTGGTTACTCATGGTGCCAACTGGGAATGACTAAGTCTCCATGGTCTATAATCTCCCACTATGGCATTTGGCCAGCAATTGCTTTACACCAGTATAGTGTATATATACATTATTAAATCACAACCATTGAACTTTGAGAAAGAAATTATTGTATTGTTGATTGTTATTGATAAAATTATTAGAATGACTTTTGCAGATATTCTTTCTTTATGTTATGTTTGTTTATGAATATAAAGTGCATTGGTAAAGTTCCAAGTATGGACATGTAAAATATAAAGTATCAAAGATAAAATATTTTTATAATTTACATGTAAAATAGTATTATATTGATAGTAATCACAAGATAGTAGACAATAATTATAAAACTTACATGTGTGTATGTAATAGTTCTTATTTTCATAAAAAAAGAATCAAGTAGTAAAAGTATTTTGAAATTTGTTATGAAAGGTTTAGGAGAACAGAGGATATACATCAAATTTTGTGTTGAATTGAAATATATGGAAATGTATATTAAGATAAAACAATCATCCTGCATTAATTCTTAAGCCTTTGTGTCCTTATTATACAATTTTATTATTTAGATGTCTACTAGGACATATTGTATTATTAGGACTTATTATACCAGTGTCCAAGTCCTGCAAAATGAGGAAACGTATCCAGAAAAAAGGAAAAATCTTTATTGTTTATATCTTTCACCTGTACACACTTTACACACTTTGGACCATTCAGTCCCTCATCAGCAGTTTTACAGCCACCATGTGATAAAACAAGATTTAAAAACGGTTACAATAATGCTATAATAATTCTCCATATAATAATACTATTAAAATGACTTACAAAATATAAATTAAAATATTAAATAACATCAAAATATAAAAATAATCGACATAAAAATCCATATTGTGTCTCCAATCCTGTATATATAAATCAATAATGGGACAGTATTATCAACAGAGGTGGTGGGTTGACACATTTATAGAGGAAATGAACTTACAAGGGAACTGTTGGAGTGTCTTTTTAATAAATATTAATAAAATTTAGTTAATAATTATGTTAAAAGTATACAAACTCTATATTAAATTTTTAATATTCACTAAAAATGCTAATCAGAGTTAATAGCAATTAAATGTCATACTATTTTATATTTATTTAACACAAATATGCAAATTTTTAGAAGTGAAAGGGTCACGGAGGAAGATGACAATATTACATTTACAGTAGAATAAGAAATAAACTTAAATAAATTTTATATGAACGATTAGATTGTGGTAGTTGGCAACATTACGTTTGACCATTGTCCCCAACCTATGTGATGTCAGACTGTGGCTAACTCCACTTTTTAGGTGGACATGCTTCTGTCCAGTCGCTCACCTCACTGCTCCAACCAATGTTTCCATAGTCGATGTAATTGTAACTCTTGTGTATAGTTCTATAAAATAAACTTATGACAACGGCCATTAGACTCCATTGTCTGTCCTGGAATCAACACTATTTGTAGATGTAATTGGATTAATTGACATAACCAATTTCCTTCTGCCTTAGTGGCCTCCTCACTAGTGAGCTGAACGTGACCTCTATAACATAGTAATCTGGACTAGGTGATCCCAGCAACACTAACCATTTCAAAACCCAGTCTCTCACGTCAAGCGGCGGCCGAACTAACTGTTAGTTCGGCTGCTTGACTGGCTTGGAGAGAAAAAAGGGGTCTACCTGAATTCCTATCAATGAAGTCTGGTTTTGAAAATGGTTAACTTGGACACCAGTATAATAAGTCTTAATAATAAAATCATCCTGCATGTTTATCTTAACATTTTATAGTGATTATATGGGGCAGTTTGCCTGAAACAATCTGAAAAATGGCAACAGGAAAATTGGATATTTCATTACAACAATACAGGTCCATACAACTGTTAAAATCATTATTTATCTGGCAAAACATGAAGTACTATTCTTCAGCAGTCACCTTATTTTCTTGATTGAGCTCTTAATGACAATTTCTTTGCCCAGATTTAAAAATTATTTGAAAGAAAAACAGTTTTAATCACTGGAATTTCTATAAGACTGAAATGAGGAAAATTTTGCAAAGTCCCAAAAGAATCTGATATTGTGAAATGTTTCCTGAATTAGAGATATCATTATAAAAGGTTTATTGATGCTCAGAATAATTATGAGAAATGGTAAATGAATTTTTGTATATTTTAATATGTTTTGATTTTTTGACTCATTCCTGGAAGTTTTGAATGCACTTTGTATTTACAACAAAATTTAGATTTTCTAAACAAATAATCTGTGATATATTTTTTGAGTTTGAATAATTTGAGAAAAAGTTCTTTAAAATTTGCATGCTTATAAATAAATATGTCATTATGTAGTATTATAGTGTATTATATAAAATATTTAAATTGAAAAAATTAAAGGAGGATTGCAATCTATTTTTAAAAAATCTTTACATTCTATCTATTTGAATGTACAGTGAAATTCTGTTAACCTGGCATGCTGAGTTTGTCATTCGGGGGTTATCAGTGTACTGGATAGGTCTGAAGTTAAGATTTTCAAGTAAAACTGCTCAAAACATGCAGTCCTTGGAAATGGGTATGGATCTTCTTTCTAGAAATGACAAATGCCAAGATGCTCTACTAAGTAAAAACCAATTAGCTCATTGCATGATTTTTCTAAAGACTTTATCAAAGACATTAATTAGTGCATGGGTTTGATATGAGAAGCAAAAATACATTAATATTAAAACTAGTGCACCTAGACGGAGTTGTCAGAATCAAATGAAATTGTACATATGTGAGTGTAATGGTGATATAAGTAAGTAGTTACAAAATGAAAGCAAAAGGATCATTCATTGCAGGGAAAATTATAAATGAAAGGATGTTCTAATACCTTGTTGGACCACCTCTAGTGTGAATACATGATGTGATACAGGTGAGCATGGAGGCATATAGGTGCTGTATAGTGTCCTATGGCATCTTAGTCCACAGTTGCTGCAAGTGGTCCTCTAGTTTGGCCATACTCCTAGCTGTCCAACTTGATTCCAGACATGTTCGATTGGTGACAAATCAGGGGATCAGGCAGACCAGGGAAGTGTGGCAATGCTGTGAATGCAGTTCTGTGACACCCTTTGGTGTGTGTGGTCGAGGTTTATCCTGTTGGAAAATTGCTCTTGGGAGCCCTACCATGAGAGGCAACACATGGCTGCAGGATGTCACTAACATACTGGTAGGCTGTCATGAACTTTTGGATCACTACTAACTACTAGAGGTGACTGGCTGCCATATGAGATGGCACTCTGGACCATTACACCAGATGTGGGAGTGGTGTGCCACTCCAAAGCATAGGCTGGATTGAGGTGTTCACCATGGGGTTACCAGACACAAACATGACCATTGTCAGTGCCCAAACTGAATCTTGATTTGTCACTGTAGATGACCCAGTTCCAATCCATTGCAGTTTAATTCTGTCAGGAGTGACACCACTCCAAATGGAGGCAATGGTGTATTGTGTCAATGGCAGCGCACATAATAGCTCCTGCTATATCAAATGTTCCTTACCCAGGCCCCTCAAAATAGTATGGACAGACATAAGGGTCTATAATGGCACTACCTGTGTCCACATGGTGGACAATAATATAGTTGGCTATGTGTGTGCTTGTTGAAAGACCAGGTGGTCCTGTCAGCTAGTAGTCTGCCAATGGCATCCCGAGCCTGGGCACTGTGTGTGTGAGCTCTGTCTCATCCACTGGTCTCAACACCACCTCACAGTGTTGGGACTTTCTTGCTATGACTATCCTGCTTTTCTCATCCTGATGATACTTTCCCTCTCAAACTTGGTTGTTCATATGGTCTTCGATTGTGATGTAAAGGCATCTTTAGTGATACAGTGCCTCTCTGCAACATGTAAACTACAGACAGGATGCCTTTGCCCTCTTTTTTATAGGATAGGTGAAACATGTTTTAATGCTTTTAGCTGACATTACACAATTAGCCATCATACTATAACTCTAATCATTTCCATATCTGCTTGAGACTTATCTGCATGCCAAATTTTATAGTGATACACTCCTCCTTGGGTGTGCTAATTTTTATGGCAATTAGCACACTTGGAATCATGAAAGAGCTACAGTACATTACTTTTCATATACTTTGATAATTAGAGTATGTCTGTTTTATATACAATAAAAGTGTACAAAACACAAAGTAAAAATAGTGTGTTCTTGTTTTAAACCAACCAAGAGTGAAAATAGTCTGGAAAAATTGATATGGCATGCTAAACAATCATAAAAGGCAGACTTGTACAGTTTTATATGCAAAGATATATAAAACTGTGTTCAAGGAATCAAAAAAACCAGAAAGACTTCCATCTGATAAGACAGCATATTCAATAATCCAGCACTGCGTCTCTCTTGATGATTCCAGGTTAACAAAATGTCACTGTTCAAATTAATTGTAAATTTAAACAATTAATTATGAAGCAGTTTAAATCAAAATTTTAATTTAATATATATTAGTGTTTTACATCTGTGTGGTTTTGTAGTTGTCACAATCAAAATCATCTCCAATTTCTTGGTTTGCCATAGAAATAAGAATGGTTTCTTTCAGTGTTACTATTGATCCACACAGTTCAGAAAAATCATAAAATCAACAATAAGTCAACTTATTTGTACAGAAAATTAAGTTAAAGTATGACAAACTATATTTTGCATCGTACTGGAAATAGAGCTTTTTGGTTTGTCTACAGGTTATTTCACTGCTGGCTGTTGGAGGTCACCATTATAAATGAATTTATCAAACTTAAAAAATGTTTGGTTTTAATTTTTTTTGAAAGTTCTACTTTGTGCAATTAGTTTAACAGTTAATTAGGTTTAAATTAAATTAAATAGTAAATTAAGTGTACAGTATGGTCTTGTTTTAAATAAAATAGAATTGTCTATAAATTAAAAAATATATATATATATATATATATAAAAGTATCAATTCACAAACCCAATTTAAAGGTAAAACCAAATGACTACTGAATTATTGGAATATAGTATGGCTATTTAATTAATTAAATGCTAAATAATTTGTATAAAGGTAGACAGTTATGCTGTTATCTTGTATTAGATTTAATGATTATAATAAATTAAATTAAATTTAGAATTTGAGAATTAATTACATAGCCGTATTACAGCTTGATAATTCAGCAGTTGTTTGGCTTTAAATTATTAATTTATTTAAATGTTTTTTATTGAAAAGTATCAAATAATATGTTTTAATGTTTATGTACAGTCTTTAATAGTTTCATTTAATTTATATTTAATAATAATAATAATAATTTTAATATGTGTATTTTTATAGTTTCTGATTTAACATTGAGAGGTACTGTATCATCAGTTTATTTTACAATTGATCTTGAGCAATATAAATTAATAAGAGGAATATTAAGCTATAATTTGGGAGAACAACTGGAGGAGATACCTATTACAAAGTTTATTAGTCATCAAATAATGCCAAAAGTAAGTTGTCTTTAAATATATTTTAAAATTTATTTTTATTTTATGTATGCATTAGGACTTTGTAATTTTGTTGTTTATTTATTTAATAATTTTTTATTATGTTTGAATATAGTAATAAATTATTGATTGTTACTGTGTATATAAATAAATATTTTAGTATTTTTTTTAGTAGCATCTAATTTGTATTTAGCTGTAATAAGTATTTAGCATTTTTGTCTTTTTATTAATTAATAATGCGTACAAAATAAGCCAATAACTAGTGGATTATATTGCAATTATTTTAAATTAAATTTGTCATAGAGGGAGGTGTTAGACACCATCTCTGTTATTAGATTTAATAAGAATTAATTAAATTAAATAATTTAGAAAATTCTGGAAGAAAAGAATCAGCCCAGAGTGGGACTCGAACCCACCACTGCCGCTTACCACGCAAATTCATTGCCAGTTATGCTACTTGAGCCTCAACTCCAATCTCCTCTTCCAGATATGAGGTAACCATCCTCAGTTACATACAGTGCCAGCTGAGGGACACATTTAGCATCTGCATCCTGTAAACACTCACCTATGACACGCAACTGGCTAATGCATTACCCTGGCATGGCTTATATACATAAACCAACATCTATGAACCGGATGTACAGTACATAAATAATAAGCCAACAACTACAGGATTATATCTGGCTATTATATTGCGATTATTTTATATTAATTACTAAATAATTTGTCATTAGAGGGAGATGTTAGGCACCATCTCTTATTAAATTAGAAAAATTATTTAATTTTTCTAATATTGTATTAGCTGGCTGAGTACTATAGGATGTAAGCAAGGATGGTTATCTCATGTTTAAATATATCTTGAAGAGGAGATTGGAGTGGAGGCTCACGTAACATAACTGGCAATGCATTTGCGTGGTAAGTGGCAGTTGTGGGTTTGAGTCCCACTCTGGGCTGATTCTTTTCTTCCAGAAATTTCTAAATTATTTAATTTAATTATAATTATTAAATCTAATAAGAGATGGTGCCTAACGCTTTTCTCTAGTGATTTAATAATTAATTTAAAATAATCGCAATATAATAGCCTGATATAATCCAGTAGTTGTTGGCTTATTACATGTATACATTGGGCTCATAGATGTTAGTTTATTACTAATGCTTATCATCTTTAAACAATTACACTATATAAAATAAATGTAATTTATAATTCAGCATTTATTAATGCCTTTACAGATTCTTCCTCGCATCTAATTTTGCCTAATGCCTAATTGAATGCCTAATTTTTGTATTATTTTATATTAATTTCTAAAGTGTTTTTGAATCTAAATATAAGTCCAAGACTCCAAATATAGCTTAAAATATTACAAGGAACATTTTAGGATTGCGGTTTATTGCAAACAATCAAATCTTTTGGTTTTGAACTTAAGAGTAGTTTGAAATGAAATTGAGATATATAGTTTTGTGAATTCAGATTTGTTCAGTTTTTGTTTTAGAGCATTGGAATAAAGACATCTGTTTTTGTTTACTGTAATTATTTGCTTATAATTATGGAACAGGTCTACTCTTAACCTGGGGAAGATTCTTAGAGTACATTCTAGTCACAAAAAGTTAAATTTGTTAGATTTGTTAGGTATAAGAGGAAGAGACTCCCACTTTTCTGTCAACTCTGATAAGTTGGAAGAATGATCAACTTATTTGTCTAGGCTGAGATTATGTGGCTGGAATACAAAAAAGATTGTTTTAGCTGTATGTATGTGACAATAGTTTAGTAATTGCCATCACCAAAGAAGATATTCTAGACTAGTGTTTTCCAAACTTTTCAGATCACTGTTTCCTTTTAGTGCATATATTTCTTATTTTATTTTATTTTTTTGTTTCAATATGCAGTTTTCTTCTAACACCTCTACCTCCCCTTGTTCCTTCTGTGCCCCCATGAGTCTTCTGTTATCATCAAGGCGATGATAACACCCACTTTGGGAATCACTGTTCTAGACTAATTTGTGTATTCTGAATGTGAAAGAACTTCTGTTTCTTGATGCTCCATCAGTTAAATGTTTCCATTGCCATTTTAAAGCAGTCTCAACTGTTTTTATATTAAAATTGTGTATGTTGTAAATAAACTTTTGTTTGGTTTCTCTATCCAGTTGTGTATGACTAAATTGAGCTTTGACTTCTTTGGAATAATCATAACCAAGGAACATAACTACATATTATCATAAATAATTTTTGAAAAAGTTTTATTATTTTGAAATATGTTAAAAGCTGACACACATACTGACTATATTTTCATAATTATGGATTTAAAAATACATTAAACTCAATCTGTAAGGATTAGTTAATAATTATCAGTATATGTTTTCAAAGTTTCTTTGCTTTGTCTTCAGCAGTTGCTTCAAATTGCTTCAATCGGTTTAACACACAGCATTCAAAATGTAATGTGTTTTAGAACAAACTGCACATAAATCTTTTCAAAACATTCTAAATTATATGCAAATTTTATCAAATTGTTCTTCAACAGAAATAAAAGTTTTTGTCATGAATATGTTGAAAGCACAAACTCTTATTCAACACCTTTTAAAAATAAGTTGAAAAGATTTCATTGTGAACATTTTAGGTGTCATATTTATTTGGTAGATGCCATAAGTTTCAAACCTAACTATATTTTAAACAGGATAGGAATAAAATAATAATAGTATCAGATAGTACCATCTGTAAGTGGGCTAATAAAACAGTTTTTCCTGCCAGTTTGCATAAGTTGCACAGAAACATTTATTTTAGACTTGTTGCATTAATTTGCAGCCTGTGGAAAATTGAGTACTGAGCTGTCATTAAATTTCTAACTAAGGAAGGCCTTACTCCCAATGTTATTAAACAGTGCTTAGATGGTGTGTATGGTGATGCTTCCAAGATGTAATAAGCATATTGAACTGCAAGGAGACGATATTGAAAAATGACATCATTGTTTTATACCTATAACGTCTAAAACAGAAAGGCCAGAAACTTTTGACATCTACCATTTATATATCTTATGCAAAGATCCTTTAACTACTGTATATACATAAAAGATTGTCCTGTTATCAGTCCCTTACATTTTTGGTTTTGAAGTAACAGTCTGAAGATGAAAGAAAGAAGCTTTGAAAATGTTTACCAATTATTAACTGGCCATTACAAAGGAAATTGAATATATTTTTTAGTGTTATAATTATAAAATATCTTTCTTAATGATAGGATTTTTCCTTGCTTCCAAATAATAATCACAAAATTCTGTGTATTAATTAGAAAAATTATTTCTTTGAACTGAATCAGGTCTAAGTTGGAATTAACCAAATTTTAAGCAATGTGTATATATTTTTAATTTTAGTTTAGTAGCAGTTTATTTTTTAATATTATATGTTGCCTATTTTATCTTATTGTGACTTCTAAATAGTGTCTGTCTTTTATGTTTTTATTGATTCTTAATTTACATTGTATTAATATAACTAAATGAGTTGGAATTAGATGCTATGTACATTTTATTATGTAAAAATTATTAAGATATAAATAAATTATTAAGATAACCACATAAGAATCATATATTTAAAAATGTTAGTGTCAGTTGTTCAGCATTGTGTAATTGATTCATTGTAATCAGATTATTATGTGATTTGATAGAAACGTATAAGGATTATCAGATAAATTTGGATTATATAAATTTGGAAATTGATAATTGTACTTGTTGATTGGTGTATTTATGGGACTGAAATATGCTAAAACTAGTTGTTACCCGCAACTTTGCTCGCGAGGATTTTGCAAGCAAACCCGATTTATATTCAGTATTTCAACAACCATAGTAATTGTTATATAACATCTACCACTGAGAATGATGAGAATTGCCGAGAATCAAACAAACTACAGTGGTACCTCGGTATACGTCTGCTNCTAAAATAGTACAGTAGAAGCCGTTTTTCTGGTTAAGCCTTAATGCTCTCCCTCTCCCCCACGGGGGAATTTATAAAAATCCCTTCTTAGTGTGCATTCTCATGGCATACCCTACTACAATGCAGATGAAAACAAAAAATCGCATCTAAAATAGTACAGAAGAAGCTGTTCTTCCGGTTAAGCCTTAATGCTCTCCCTCTCCCCTGCGGGGAATTTCGAAAAATCCCTTTTTAGTGTGCGTTTTCATGACGTACCCTAACTGTGTACCAAATTTCACCTCTTTAGGTTCAGCGGTTTGCTCTGGGCAATGATGAATCAGTGAGTCATTCAGTCAGTCAGGACAAGTAATCTATACTTCTATACTAATATTATAAAGAGGTAATGTTTGTATGTAAGTTTGTATGCAGCAGGTAATCTCCGAAACTACTCATCCAATTTCAAAAATTCTTTCACCAATATTTAGAATGGAACCTCAGGGTGGACATAGGCTGTATATTAATCCGTTAAACATTCATATAAATTAAAATATATAATCTAGGTTAAGGCTTTTATGTCCAACAGATGGTGCTACAAGTACAACGCTCTAACTTTGCTTTTCTGTGAGGCATTATGCTTTTCTGTGAGGATGAACTAAAGCAGATCATCTTCTATCTATCTATATAAATAAAAATGTAATGTTCGTTTGTTCCTACCGATTCCTTTGAAATTTTGACACAATGCTGCATTCGAATATGCACGTGTTTTTATATAATATACGTGTCGAAATCCCCCCGGGGGAGAGGGGCAGAATTAAGGCTTATCGTGAAGAACTTGGCTTTTATTATACTATTTCAGGTGCGTTTTTTTTTTTTTTGTTTTTTTTGATTGCGTTTTAATAGGGTACGTCAAGAAAATGTACACTAAGGGAATTTTCGAAAAATCCCCCCACGGGGGAAGTGTTTTACATTTATAATAGATACATTTTGGGCCACAACAACGCGTGGTGGGGTCTGCTAGTTTTATATATATAGATGATTGGTTTATACATTTTTAACCTGATTGGATCAACACGGCAGTTAATACACTTAGAAGTAACAAAGAAATCATGTATCTTTGAACTGTTAATTTGTATGGAGTTCTTATTGATTAGAAATTATATACATAAAAATTAACAAATATTTTACTTACAGAAAACATCTAGTCAAGTTTGGACAACAATGGCTATTCATCTGAATTTAGTCAATGTAACAGTTAATTTGATAAACAATCATTGTAGTCCTGAATGTGTTAATGCTACAACACCTTTAGCAAAATTTGATTTTATTAAATCACGTCTGTTATTAGAAAGTTACTCTGATGGTACAAGAGACATTGATTTGATATCGCACGAAATTCGTATATCAGATACAAGATATAAAGGTAAAAATTCTTCTTACTTTTTTACAAATTTGATTTTTAATTCTAAATAAATCAAAATTCTAAGTAATAAAAATGATTATTAAAAACATTAATTATTAATTATAATTTTACCATAAAATATTAAAATGTGATATGCAATGTATACATGTAATATACATAACAATGTATATATTACATATATACATTATGCAAAATAAATATGATTTATTTTGTACTGGATAAGTTAAATGAAACAAAATAATTAAAATAAGCATAATTTCAAATAAAATTATAATGATAAGTATTTATAAAGATTACTATAGCTTTTGAGAAAATATTTCGGTGAAATCTTATTTCTACTCTTAGAAATGTATAAGAAACAATTTTCTCTTAAATCTGTATATATTTCTGAGAATATAAATAGAATTTTTTAAAAATTTCTATAGAAAATATAATGAAAAATTCACTTCTACATGATAATCTTTATTGTTATATAAGTATAATATCTGACATTGATGAATTTATGGTATTTATAATGTAAATATGTTAAAAATCCTATCAGAGAAATATAACACTTGTAAAGCTGATAATTTAAATTAGTGATTGGATGATTAATCAGAATTGGAAGAATCGGTCATTTTTCTGGAATCAAACAAATCTCATCACGAGTTTGAATTCTTAAAACGATACTTAAAATGATTCTTCCACATTTAACAAGAAAATTAATTATTCGTTTCAGTTGAAGATTAAAAATTTTTTAAATTATGATATTAAGTATTAGTTTATTGGTAGCTTTTACATCAACAAAGCAGAGAGCACACGACAATCCATACATAAAGTGATATCTGTTGCAGCAGACTTTTCTTTCGTGTAGTCAGAGTGATAAGAGATTGCACTTGGTTGGCACTAACTGTCTCTATTTTAGGAGAGATAGGGTGACATTAGGATTGTCACGCGGCCTGTATTGGGTCGACTTGACAGGCAATTTCAAATTCAGGCCAGCAGTTGACACAAATATTTAAGTGTTAGCAAAACATTTTAAAATATAAACAAAATTATGTTTTAGTTGAAAAAATATTATATGAAATTATTTTTAATATTCAGTATGTTTACTTATAATGATAAAACACTTGAACAACACTTTAAATACTTTTTTAGCAATAGTGTTAATAACACTTTAATTTCTTTAAATGTTTTTGACCTCTCTTCGTAGGTCTGTGTCAGGTTTAATAAGAAGATTCAAACTGTCTTAGTTTGAATCCTCTTGTTAAACTTGACATATGCCTAAGAAAAGGGGTGGAAAACATTAGTTTAAAGAAATTAAAGTGTTGCTGAAAAAGTATTTAATGTCTAGGCATTAGGTTGATTCTTCTTTCCTTGAAAAAGTTCACACGATTGTACATTTAGGAAAACCTGGCTTGAGGTGAATGAATTCAAAACTTGATTAACTCTTGATGATGACGATATTTGTTTGACTCATTGCATCATTTGCTGAACCTAATTTAATGTTAAATACAATGGAATTAAAGCATTTATGAAGCATGCTAATTACAAGAAGCATGAAAGAAGAATTGCATGTTCTCATTTACCTTTCCTTTCCCCTGGTCATCATGTTGTCCAATGAAGCAGTTTCCAAAGATGGTGACCCTAAGTGACACAATGGGATAGTTCTTTGAGTAAAAAGGAATTAATTAGTTGTAATTTCTTTGGGTATTATTGCAATATTAACTTTATCTGAAATAAGATTACAAATTTGTTTTGTAGTACACAATAAAAGCATGCATATCCGCATATAAATGGAAAATTTTCAGGTTTCTTTCGAAAGATTGATTCTGGATTTCCCAATCGTTTTCTATTCTTAAGCTCTTGATGTTTATTAATTAATGAATGTACTGTGTGCATAATGTAAATCATTAATTTTTCTAAACAAAAATAAACTTTAGAAAATATTCAAAAGAATCAGGAATTTTCAGCAGAATTGGAATCAGAAGAAATTTTGGTATTGTTCCATTACTAATTTAAATATAATGATGAATAATGAAGATTATTTAAAAAATGTCTGCTAGTTTTATATATATAGATGATTGGTTTATACATTTTTGACCTGATTGGATCAACACGGCAGTTAATACACTTAGAAGTAACAAAGAAATCATGTATCTTTGAACTGTTAATTTGTATGGAGTTCTTATTGATTAGAAATTATATACATAAAAATTAACAAATATTTTACTTACAGAAAACATCTAGTCAAGTTTGGACAACAATGGCTATTCATCTGAATTTAGTCAATGTAACAGTTAATTTGATAAACAATCATTGTAGTCCTGAATGTGTTAATGCTACAACACCTTTAGCAAAATTTGATTTTATTAAATCACGTCTGTTATTAGAAAGTTACTCTGATGGTACAAGAGACATTGATTTGATATCGCACGAAATTCGTATATCAGATACAAGATATAAAGGTAAAAATTCTTCTTACTTTTTTACAAATTTGTTATGTAGGTAGAAGAAA